GCGCTGCGAGTCGGACAGGTCCACTGAACCCGCGCAAAGCGCATCCAGCCAACCGTCATCACAGTCCGAATGCGGTCGCGACGGAGGATCGGTGGATACCTGACCCACGAGTGGTTCCTCATAGGGTACCGGCGTTGCGTGTGCAAGCACGGTCCCTTGAGGAACCACGGCCGTTCGCGATCCCACATTAAGGACTGCAATGAAGGGGTCCCCATCCCCTCTCACCATGGTCTGAGCCGCGAGCAAATCTGGTCCATTTACCCCGGCCCGAGATGGTCCCAACAAGACCCCCCGATCCGCAACCCCTTCATTAAACGGCCGACGCAATCTAAGAGGGACGAGCATCTGAGCCCCCGGAGGCACGCGCACAGTTTTTGTGACGAGCGCCTGCACGGTGGCAAACGCCCGACGCTCCGTGGTGGGGGAAGACAGAAATGTAACGCGTCGGCCCGATGGGAGCTCAATGCACCCTTGGTCAATAAGGATGCGGATGGGCATTTTGGCCAGAAAATCCGTCCCCAACAGGCACGGAACCGCGAGTGAGGAGGAAACCAAAACAGGCCCGGATAATTTAATGTCCCCAATGCAGATAGTGGCGCGGATTTGGCCAATAATGCCCAGAGAGCCCCCGTTAGCGGCATAGCACGGCACGTCAACAGGGAGCAAGGGACGACTTTGAACGGGAAGGATGTTATAAATTAAATCAGATATAATGGTCGCCGATGCCCCTGTGTCAATTAAAATCCGCACCTCTACCCCATCAATGTGACCGACCACGACCGATGATCCCGCCGACGCAGCAACGACACGATGGGCGAGCTCCGACCACTGACCCGGTTGGAGCGCCCGCCGCATTACCGAACGATCGCGCGCGACGGATGGGGAATTTGGAGCCCTGTTTAGTTGGGCGCGTGAGTGTGTGTCGGATGTGTGCGTGGGCCAAACGTGTGAGGTGCCGCGACTCGCCGTATTTCTCTGCTGGAGCTTGGGAGGAGACGGCGTGGCGTCCTGACGAGGTGTCGCCCCGCGCTGACGGGGAGCCCGGCATCCTGACGCAACGTGGCCTTGCAGGCCACAGTTGTAGCAGCGTGTGAGCGCCCCCGATGTCCTGGGCTGCTCCTGGCGGCTCGGTCCATTCCGAGCCTGTGGTACTGCCGCTCTCCATTCCCCTCGCCGCTCCACCCCGCAGACCTCCTCCGATGGGAGGGCGGTAGCCGCCATGGCATGGCTGGCCGCCCCCTTTGCCGCCTTTCGACGAAGGGACCGCAAGCCCCCGTGGATGTGGCGCGCGACCAGCAGGGACGACATCTCTGAGTCGTCTTGAGCCAGGACGTTGACGTCCAGCTCATCAGCGAGTAGCAGCAGCTTCTCAGCCACCATGGCATCCACTCCTTCCTCGTCCATCCTTGGGAAAGCAGCCTTCGCTAGAGCCAGGAGAGCTCTGGGGCCTACACTAGCTGGTCTTCCGTCTTCTCTGGTTATAGCTGAGTCCCGACTCCCGAGCCTTTCGGCTCATCACCTTTTATAGGACTTGCCCCCAAGGGGGGGGGGGCCCGTGGGGGATACACATGCGGACGTCGGTGCGAGCGCCACCCTTGTGTACGGCCGTAACCCCGCCCCTTGTGTTTGTTGGCCATCCGTGGCCATGCATAATCACACCTCAACATTCGTAGACATGCGCAATTACACCTCTACACATACAACGGTGTTGATTTTAATTACAATGAGTAGCAAGGCTGTGAAGCGTTCTGGTAGTGGTGCTCGTGGGAGTGAAGTCAAGAAAAGCTATGACTCTTGAACAAAAACTCGATGTGAAAGAGCGGTATGGACGAAACTAAAGAACACGTGATGACATTATTCGCGCAACGGGACTTACCGAATCCACGCTGCGCATTTTTCGTGGCATTGCAGAAACAAGGAAAATATGTAATTTTACTACCCCCTAACCCCTTAATTCCTAATTGAATCAATGGTTGTTATTATAACTACCGCGTTATCGGAGAACATGCTTTATATTTACACTTCGTGAGAGTGCCTCCGAGCGTCCCTGACAGGCCTGGCCTGGATGTGATTTCATCATCAAGTTGGACTTCGATGATTCTCGTACGCAGCGCGTGTCCTGGCCAACCCCTTGGGACCGCCGCAGGGTGTAATATAATTGATTGTCTTTGTCTTTGAGAGACTGCGACCTGCCTTATGAATTGTTCGAGGTAATGTCCGGTTGACAAAGACGTCGCAAAACTGCACCAAGGTTGTAACTGCCCGAGTGGCTGAAGTTATGTTTGTGTGTGTTTGTTATAATGCGAACTTCTGCGGATGCCATGACGAGTCCTGGGCCAGAATGAGCTCGGATCTGCACAGGATTTCGACATTATCGAAAGCCGCCGCCGCCGCCGCATGATCCATGAATGAACAATGCTCTGCAAAAACGAAAAGCGGCAGCGACGGCAGAAACAACAGGCGACGAAGCTTCCAACACCCCCCAACTGCGGCCATGGTGCGTGACCTGTGGCCGCGTCGCACACTCGCACCGGAATGCTGACTCGAGACGTCGCGCGCGGGACGGGCACGCGATGGCCGTGCCCCGGGGCCTCGCGGCTGTCACGCTCGCAGCCTCGCTTTGGTTTCGCCGCTCAACTCCCCCCCACACACACACACCACCCCCACACCCCTCTCATCAATAGCCAGCAGCGCAGTGCCCGCCTCTCTAATGCCGGGTTCACGCATTCCTCCGCCCTCCCGAGCCGCGAGTTCGCGCGAATGCCGGTGCGGTGTTTTGACACTCGTTGGCATCATATCGGTGTCATGGAGACGAAGCTATTTGTGGTTAGTTCAGAAAGAAAAAAACCCATGACTAACCCTCGCAGAATTCGTTCTAGTTCCTGTACTACCCATCGGCATGCGACACGAGATAAATACATTCCATTTTTGGGATGGAAGAAACAATAGATTATATAGTGCTGAGGTGTATTCGGGTTTGAATGGACGGATATAGAAACGTCGGAGACGTTGATATTCAACAGCGCATGTACATAATCACCACGTGTACTTAAGTTATTCAATTACACGAAATATGGGACACTCCAGGCCTTGGGGGACAAGTTTGGATTATATTTCATTGTAAAATAACGCACGGTATAGCTGAACACGTGTGCAGCACGGCACCACGGGAGAACCCATAACACCTTGCGAACGCACCAGATGAAGTGCACAGTGTTTGAATCACCATCATCATTGAGCGATTGCAGTGTTTCATCTGTGTGAACATTTAGTAACCGAGTACAACAAATCCGTTCCAACAATTGGTTCCTTCTTCTTTGACGATGTCCACATTTATACCTCCCGGTGCAGGAGACTTCCCCGTTTTAATAATTATTCGTCAGAGGATGTGCTCTCCTCGTCCGAGAGCCAAGTTCGTTCCTGTCCTGTGCGATTAGATTTTCAAAACAATCATCTCGCGAGTAGCGTGTCCATCTTTCTCTCCACAAGGGCAACCATTTCGTGGGTTGTCATTCCACCTATCACTGCCACTGCTGGCATGCCACCAATTGCTGGGACATCTTCAATCTATGTTCGTGTGGGGCTCTCTTCTGATCGTTGACTCAGACAAATCTGAGTATCACGACACTTTTTCACGTCACTTCAGTGCATTTCACCCTCATGAGGGCCGGCGTTCACATTGCTCATGAGCTTAGAGTCGCCACTGGTCCGGATTTGACCCAGACAGTCCTGGAATTGGCATCTGTCTGCGGGTGGCAGGACCCGATTTGTACCCAGATCTGGTATCGGTATTGCCGTGTTGCGCGCTATCACAGTAGACTACCCAGTGTGAACAGACCTTGGCTGACTGAGAAATATGTCCAGGATTGATTTGGTGGAATAGGTGACCATGCCAGGCGAGTTCCTCACCGAAAATACGGAAGCGAGCCAAGCGACTCCTCTGCTTCCTATCACTCGTAGCACTCCACTCGTGTGGCTACAGACAAAGCACTGCTGTCAACCGCCGATCCGAACAGAACAAGGAAACAACAGTAAAACACAATTTGGGTTCAAGACGCATACTAAACTAAACATTTATTTTACCAGGTTAGGCCCACTGAAATATATAGCTCTTTTTTGAAGTGACCTGGCTAAAAATGATATCTCAACGAAGTGGAAATTTATAGTAGCAGCGAAAAACTCTAAACGCATGTTTCTAAATGTGGAGGGAAAACAGGAGGACCCTGAGAAAAAGCCACCCGACCATGGGAAGAGAGACATGCAAACTCCAAATATAGAGACGTCAGGGTCGGGAACGAATCCACGGCCTCCTGTATACCTAGCGAGGGAGTTAACATCTCATAGCCACCGTGGCGTTACTCAAATGAATCAGACCTGCTGTTTAGCCACTGTACTTACTCGCTCACCAGCGGTCAGTCGCCTCCTCATCACTCTTCTATCGCTACTTCCACGGTTACTCTTCCTGATAACTTCACTCACTCATTCCAAACTACCCATGCTATCACCACGATGCAGGTTATACAGGCGTCATGGTCGGGATCGAACCCACGGCCTTCTGTATATCAGGCGAGGGAGTTAACATCTCACCACCGCGGCGCCCGACGTGGAGCAGTGGCACAGTGGTTATGCACTACGCACATTGAATTTCTGTCGTAGCTAATCGCAGGTGCGCCGAGTGGAGTTCCATTCCTGGCCAGGGCTAACATCTGTGTTGAGTGGTAGCCGAGCAGGTCCTGAACACCCTCTTCTTCCCGAACCCGTACAGAACAGTGTAGCGAGCTTTGGTCAAACAACCCCTGACACAGCATGGGGGGGGGGGGGGGGTGCGGGGTGCTTCATCCAGCAGCAAATTGATAACCGCATCAACGATGGGACCGATGAACAGCGTTCGTCTCGTGACCGCCGTCCTGCCCGTAATGATGCTGTGAGAGTGGACTTGAGGCTTTTTCAGGAATGTTTGCGACCAAAGAGAAAGTCAAGATTGCATTTGAAACGGCAAACTTTATTAAAAACGTGTCATTCTGTTGTTCTTTATGACGACACCTCTATGGTAGCTTACCATGAGACGTCAGAGATAGATACATTGCTAATTCGTTGCAAGCTTCATCACATCACATAACTCTACCATCATAGCGTAACACTGCCATCGTAGCGTAACACTGCCATATGTCTGCACACTGCAGAATACCTATAAAATAGCCGTATAAATACTGTAATCAAAAGCATGCAAATTACCACGCAAATATAATAAGTATATGCAGGGGGAGGCGGTCGGGTGGAGGGAACGGAAGATCATCACTCGGCGTGCCGCGATCCCCAGCCCCATTCCCCATAATGCGATGGATCCTCACGGCGCTCCAGGAGTCAATCCTCGATGTTTGCCACCGTGAACAATGTGGCGCCTCGAGTTTGCTGCAGGGGTCACGTGAACCCACTTCAGGGCTGACGCGTGAACGTTTTGATGCGTGCATGCGTCGTTAAGCGAATTTGTCGACTTTAATAATTGGCCAGCGGAACCCCAAAAGACAGTTGTATTGGATCTCTGCCGCTTATTGCAGTGAATCAACACAAAAGTACAGCAGATCAGAGTGGCGTAAACTATCGAGTGTGCACGCCGGTGCAACGATACCCAGGGTGCACGGTAGGGTCACCACCCGGACAGTTCAGGAATTGGCTTCTTTGTCCCGGTGGCAAAGGAGTGAATTTGTACTGAGGCCTGGTACCGGGATCGTGTTGAACCTTTTTTATGGTTCCAGAATACTGCACAGCTTTAATAAAGCTAGGCTGGCTGAGAAACATGCCCAGCCTTGTTCTGTGGAAAGGTGGCAGGCCCAGCTCATGGGTTTCGAGTGGTTCCAGGCTCTGTGCTATGAAGGGGTCAATTGAGCAAGGGACCAAATCTCACTGTCTTGTGTTGGTGCCCGTACCCGACCGTACTACGGCGCCGACTGGGAACACTCGTATTTCCACGAGGACGAATATTTTGGTTGTAAATAGCAGTGCGGTGTTTCTGACGAACATTCTTTGTTACCTCATGAGGATTTTTTTAATTAATGAAATTAACGTGTTCTAGATATACAGGGTACATTTGACGACACATTTCACTTTTGATCAAATGTGCCTGCTTCACGGCAGTGGAAAAACCTTACACCTATTTTATTTATCCCACTGTTCGTTTGTTGTGTGGATTATCGAGGCAGGAGCCGATGACAGAATCACCCAGGATGCACCCGATCTTGTCCCACGTCGGAAGTTAAGCAGGGCTTGAGCCTGGACGGTACTTGGGCGGGCGACAGCCGTGCATACAATTGGGTTGGTTGTGCAGCACTGTGCTACGTTCCACCGTGTGTGCCACCACATCTTCGCCGACCTCTACTGCCCGGTGTGGTGAAGATGGTCAAATGTGGCAGAGGGAGGCCCTCGACTAGAAAAGGGCTGGACATGTGCGGTGAGCGGCGGTGAGGCCAGTCGTTCTGGTGGTGGTGATAAGGCAGTGGGGCCGCTGTGACGCCGAGAGGCATGATGATGCCGGCGCAAACGGAGGAGGAGCAGGGTGCGAACGTTAACGACCACGCACTGTGCGACCTTAAAGGAGACGCGACCCAAATACAAACGTCTCGTGCGTTACGGACGCGCAAGCCGAGCGGCGGTGTCTGGGGTGAGGGCTCTGGTGACGCGGGGCGGTGGGGAATAAATGAAGGCGCCACACGTCAAGGAGTGATGTTGTAGCACCCTCGTGTGGCTTCACTGCTCTGCGCTGGCTGTATCCCTCCACAATGTGCCGTTGGAATTCTAAAGCCTGCGGAGGTGAGTTTTCCACTTGTCCCGGGTTTGATCCAGACAGACCAGGAATTGGCATGTGTCTGTCCGGGGGGCACAATTTGATTTGTACCGAGATCTGGTACCGGTATTGTGTTGAATTGAACGACAGGATACTGCACCGTTTCTGATAGAACGAGTGTTGAGAAATGTGTCAGAAACATGTCAGTTTTGTGCAAAAGGTGGCGACACTATTCGAGGTCACCTGGTAGATGGTGCACCCACTCACGAAGGTCCAAACTGCTGCACTCCCAGATGATCGACGCTACTTTATTAACCAAATTAAATGCCCCCCCCACATACTTTTGTTTGGCGCGTGTCATTCTTTAATCACACTTTTAGCGTCGTCGTTAAAATGAGGGGAAGGACGCAGCGCACGTTGGGTCTGAGAGGAATAAATCCTGCGATCCTGTTGTGGAGAAGCGTCGTTCTGCCCTCACGGTGGCGGCTGCGGCGTGGCACTCCGGCGATGGCCACGAGCTCAGAACGCGCGAGCCTCCATGTTGGCACGGAGCATGAGCGCCACGGGGACCCACACTCCCGGCGTCTCGGCGATGCGCAGGAACGCCGCCTGCTCGTCCCCGCGAGCGTCATTCCACGGCGCCACTCGCTCGTAACTGAAGCCTGCGGAGCAGTGCACAGGGCAGCGCCACCCGACACACACAAAGACAAAGATCCCCCGTTTAGCCTTGACAGACTGTTGGGGCACGTGCTGTTAGCGAGCACCTATGAAGGCCGGTACGGCACACGAGGGGGTGGGTGGCCAACACCACGCCCGGCCGCCTTTGTCTCCCTAGTGGCGATGTTTACACATTGCACCAGGTACTCATTTTAGGCCGAGTCGACCTAAGGGAGGCCCAGGACCGATTCAGATAATCATCACCGGTGTTGGCCATGAGCGAGAATCGAACTCGGGTCACTGGGTACGTAACGCAGTGTAGTGCTAACCGCTACACCACCGCTCCCCACACCAACATCCACACACATATAGACACACGCAGAAGACATGTGCTCATGCGCGTCCGCATTCACGCACCTGTGCCAGTGCCCAGCCGCACACCACCCAGGAAGTGGTTGCTGGACAGAGACTCGTGGTCCCAGACCGTGAGTTCCAGGCTGACCTCGGGCAGCTCCTGCACGGGCAGCCCCTCGAAGATGAACGTGTGGTTCCACACCGGGTTGACCGTCTTGCGCACCACAGGGGTCTTCTGCTTCGTCACCTTGTGCTCATCCGGGAGGAGGTATCTGCTCAACGTGCGTGTGTGTGCATGTGTGTGTATACGTGCGTATGCATGTGCAGGGAGTGGAAGTGTAGCGGTTAGCGTGCTGCCCTAGTTCAATTCCCGCTCACGGCCAACACCCATGACGATTATTTGAATCGGTCCTGGGCCTCCCCTAGGTCGACTCAAGCTCAAATAAGTACTTGGTCTGGTGTGTAAACATCGCTACTAGGGAGACAAAGGCGGCCGGGCGTGGTGCTAACCACCCACTACCTCGTGTGCTGTGGCGGCCTTCATTGGTGCACACTAACAGAACTTGCCCTAAAAGTATTTTAAAGGCTATAAGGGAATCTTTGTCTTTGTGTGTATGTATATGTAGGTGTGCATGCATGCATAGCGCAGCACAGCACTTGCCCCATCAATCTGTTAAGGCTATACGGGGGATCTGTGTCTTTGTAGCATAGCACTTAGCATGCTGCGCTTCAAACCAGGTGACCTGAGTTCGATTCCCCCTCACGGCCAATACCAGTGGCGATTATCTCTTTCTTGAAAACGTATTTTTTTGTTGATTATGTTATTCCTTCCCCCACACCTCCGATTAGCACGGTTGGCTACATACGGTGCTAAAGAAGTTCAACGTACAGTACATACATGCGAGGGGGTGGGTGGTCAACATCATGCACGGCCGCCTTTGTCTCCCCAGTGCTGATGTTTAGTACTTACCACACCATCAGACAACTGGTGATTGTTCGTGAGCGAGAGTCGAACTCGCCGCGTTCGTGGCACAGTGGCGTTAACCACTGCACCACCATTCCCCACTCACACACACAGAGAGAGAGAGACCATATGAAACTCCACACAGAGAGGCGCTGGCCTCTTGCTGGCGGTGGTGGGGATGGGGGGGGGCCCCCGCTCTCACCCTTTGACGAAGGGGTTGGACGTGCGCCCGGCCTTGGCTGCCGTCAGGTTCTTGGCGCCCTTGATGTTGATGTGCAGCTCCCCCGTGGGCAGGGGCCGCCTCTTCCCCTTCCCCTTTCCGTCTGCCGCGCGCGCACAACCACCGGGACGATTGACACGGAGCCGCGTCCATTCGTGTGCGAGCGCTGTCCAATAGTCGCGAAATCAAAGCGATGTTCTGCTCAAGATGAGCACTGAGGCGGTGCTCGTCGCGTCCTTACAGCCCTGAGGCAGTGGTGGAGATTTCACATTGCAATGGCAGAAGCAATAAGGCATTCACTGTTGAGCTTCCAACAAGGTGGAACTATTTTATACACCTCGTAGGGATGATAGGCTGCATCAACCCCCAACCAGGATTTGAATTCGCGACCTTCCGATGGAACATCTTTATTTGGAAGGGATTGTCCAGGTGTACATTTTCCTTGATACACATTTTGTATAAACCACTTGCACGCCTCTTCCAAATCCCATGAACGAGGCTCCCAGAATTCTGCTACCATTATCATCAGCCAAGATCAATCTACTGCTGCATGAAGGCCTTCTCAAGCCGTCGCAATCTCCCACGGGCTGCCTTCACGGCTTCATCTCAACGACGGAAATCTATGCAGCTATCCAAGCTCTCACGAACCGAGGCTGATAACGAACATTATTGAGAAAACAATTTTATAAGTGGCACGACCGGACTAGGCCCCTGGCTCTGGGCTCCTCTCAGACTTCGGGGCGGGGGTGGGGGGCAGCAGATAAATGTATGTGGGGGGGAGCGGAGCACTGTAATGGTGACGACACCGAGAAGGAGGAGGCTGGGCCACACAGCGGACACCCTCAGTGGTGCGGGGCACCGACCGGGCAGGGCCCCACTGGTGGGCACCGTAACTCACCGGGAGACTCACCGGGAGGAGACTCACCGGGAGGGGACTCACCGGGAGGGGACTCACCGGGAGGAGACTCACCGGGAGGAGACTCACCGGGAGGGGACTCACCGGGAGGAGACTCACCGGGAGGAGACTCACCGGGAGGGGACTCACCGGGAGGAGACTCACCGGGAGGAGACTCACCGGGAGGGGACTCACCGGGAGGGGACTCACCGGGAGGAGACTCACCGGGAGGGGACTCACCGGGAGGGGACTCACCGGGAGGGGACTCACCGGGAGGGGACTCACCGGGAGGGGACTCACCGGGAGGAGACTCACCGGGAGGGGACTCACCGGGAGGGGACTCACCAGGAGGGGACTCACCGGGAGGGGACTCACCGGGAGGGGACTCACCGGGAGGGGACTCACCGGGAGGAGACTCACCGGGAGGAGACTCACCGGGAGGGGACTCACCGGGAGGGGACTCGGGCTCGGGCTGCTCGGCGGGGGCGATGTACTTGAGCGCGAGGATGAGCTCGCCTTTGTACTGGGGGCTCGCCTCTGTGATGTTCTCCACCTGGGGTGGAGGAACGGGCACAGCCGCTTGCAACGGACACGAGGATTCGGAACACTCGCGGGATAACAAAGAGTTCACGGTGGGGTGGAGAAAGTAGAGCAGTGAATCAGAATCGAAGTCTTTATTTAGACTGGAGGAGGAATTCGATGAGCTATGAAGTTTTTTTCTCTCACAGATTTCCAGTAGGGGCACGATATTGGTGCAAAGTTCAACAGTTCAACAGCGTTGGCTCAAGCAAGGCTGACTGATAATGAGACGCTGAATGTCGAAGCCAGAACATAGTTCACTATTTTTTAAACTTCTCATTTTACCAGGTAAGGCCCACTGAGCTATCTTTGTCAGCAGCCCTGACCTGGCTGTCACAAGTCATGGCTCCACGAAGTGGCTTACAAAAACCCGATAGGAGTGCAACGTTTAGGTAAGCAAGTCACTACGAATAAATACAAATAAAGTATATGAGAACAAATTGCAAAAGTACAACAACTCCTGCCGATTCTTCAACACTAAATGCATGCCTGGGCAAGGCAGACCACACCAAGGCAACAGACAGTAGTCCCTCAATCAAATTGCACATTGAGAAGGAGTGAGTGGGTGATCCGGTGAGCGAGTGAGTGGGTTGGTGAGTGTCGATGAGACCTGCCGTACTCTGGTTGAACTCACAAGCCATGAGTGTCTGGGAGACCGATACAGGTGAAAGAATCAAAGCTGTGGAGATCAGTGGAACGGTAACCATGGCGGTTGCGGCTATGGAAGAGTGAGACGGAGGCGGCTGACCGCCGGTGAATGAGTGAACGACTGGAGTGAATTGGCAAGCGCAGGCTAATTAATCACTCTGACCCATTCATCAGGACCTCAATAACATCCCCCGTCATCGCTTGAAGTCACGCAAGCCCTTTTGGACCCATGCGCTGAACCTTAAACAATGCGAATTCAACCCCGATGAAGCCTGAAGAGCTGACTGGAGTTCAAAAGAACTCACAAATGAACACATTGTGAAAGACCCAACGCAGAAGATCCCAGGGTTTTATCTTCCACGAAGCTCATGGTCCACCCTAAATAAAATCCACACAAACCATGGCAGCAGATGTGGATACCTGATGCACAAATGGAAAATTAAAAACTCTCCATGAGCGTGCGACTGTAGTCATCCAGAACAGGACCGTACAACGCGTAATGACGCAATTCCACGATCCACAAATACGAAGGAGACATCACAGGGATACACTCTGCTGCTTCTGACGCGGTTATCTGGCTTGAAGGTGAAATTGTAGTTGTTGTTCTGCATCTACATCATCCGTACGAAAAAAAAGAAGAATCATCCCGACTGCTATCCAGTGCAGTCAGGTGGGAACTGGGAGCTCCATCCCAAATATGCCAAGGAGGCACAAATCCTTCACACCCGCACTCAGAGCCAAGCTATGCATATATCATGCTTGTAGCACTGCAATGGTAGGACACCAACACGTGGCCTATGTAAGTGTGTGGTTTGCACTGCAGCTGGGTGGTTAATTATTCTGATGAATTTTAGCAGAGTAATTAGTTAAATAAATTAATGAGCAGCTAAAGGAGTCTCACGCTTGTGGCGGCTGTTGCCGCTGTGTGTTGCTGTGGTCAGAGCTCATCTCAGGCGCGGAGGTTTTCAAGATCGCCCTTCACGGTGGCTAAAATAAGTAACGCTTTGTGGGAGATGAACAGTGGTTGGGTTGGACACGTTACCGCGTGGTGCTTGCGCCAGGCTAGGTGCACTCTGAGGTCATTTTAATGGAATGAGTAACCATGTTGCTTTTGTTGTGCACATATTTTTCAATGACAAATTGGCTTAGAAATCGATGTGAAATATTGGCAGCTTAAATCTCAGTCAAATGACGACTCAACCCATCATGCCTTTGGAGCTGGTAAAATAGATATCAATTTGTGAGGAAGTCAACCTGCCCCTACTGGACACGTGTGAAAGAGAGCTTCATAGCTCATCGGATTTCTCCAGTCCGAATACTGATTCTGATTCTGGCTATCCTTTGGAGAAACTGGCCCCCACGCAAAGGGAATGTGGAATGTCCACCACTGGCTCTGCAGGGCCGTGAACAACAATCCCGAGGCTGCTGCCTTGGGAACGTGGAATTTCCCGCAGCGAAGGGATTGCGCGTTACCCGGGGCTGCAGCGCACACCAGCGGTCGTCCCCGCGCTCCAGGTCGCAGCAGTCGAGCGGCAGCGACGCTTGGCCCAGAAAGGAGTTGTGGCGGAAACTGTCGTGGTGCCACACGGAGAGGTGGACGCAGCGGACCTCCAGCTGCGTGTGGCTGATCGCATACTGCACATGCACGCATGCAAAGACAAAGAAGATCCCCCGTATGGGCTTAATGGACTGTTGTGGCGAGTGCTACTAGCGAGTAGCTCCTATAGAGGCCGGCACGGCACAAGACGGGGTGGGCCGGCAGCACCAGGCCCAGCCGGCTTTGTCTCCCCAGTGGCGATGTTTACACACCACAACAGGTACTCATTTAAGGCTGAGTCGACCTAGGGGAGGCCCAGGACCGGTTCAGATAATCGTCACTGACGTTGGCGATGAGTGTGAATCGAACCCGGGTCGCCGGGTTCGTAGTGCAACGCGCTGACCGTTGCACCGTCGCTAACTGCACACATGCGCACACACAAACGGGAGTTTGGTTTATAGTGTACTGTACACACACACACATACACACGAGATAAATGTACACGCGTGCTAATGTCCCTCGCACCTTCAGTGTCTCGTTGAACACAGGGTTGATGGTGTTCTTCTTGATCTTGGTTTTCCGCTTGCCTTGGCGAGACTTGTCAGGCAGGAGGTACACCTTGACGTACCTAGCAGGAGGAGATCCGCACGGGGTTAGAGGCAGCCTCCGAGACGGGCGGTGAGCATCGGGGTTCAGGCGTCAAGTTGATGAACACGGTTAGAACTCGACAAAGCCAGAATGAGTCTCATTCGCGACAGTGACCTGGGTGGCCAAAATAACAAAGGCAACAACGTAAAAACAAGTTCGACAATGAGCCTAACAGAAATCAGAGCCAAAACCAGATTGAGATCAGAGCCAAAGGAACTGTGTAACAGAAGAAAGTGAAAAGAATGTACCAACGTATATCAATTGAAAAATAAATCCCTGAAACAGAAGTTAAAAAGATCGCGACGTGGATTCCGGTGCCGTCTAGTGGCCATCGCGCCGACATGGAAAGGGGCCGAATTCCTACAGACGATTGGGCGCAAAAGGAACGCTCGCTAAAAACACAACTCCCACGCGAGGCCTTGCAGGGCGTCTACTCTGAAACACGACCGCGGTGGACTCATGGTTCGCAGCCTTGAACCCATCGCGTCTCACGCTTCTCTTTTGTTAATTCTCTTGCGGGACGATCGTCAGGCACAATCAAAAAGCATTTAGCAAGAACTTAAAGGCTTGATCTTAATCAATGCATCATTACACCCCCGACTGTTGTTCGTGTGTACAATTTATTCCCGAACGTGTGACATCTGGGCCATACTGTAGAGGCAGCACTTTACAAAAAAAACTAAGACAAAGATCCCCGTATATAGCTTTAACAGACATTTGGGGCAAGTGCTGTTCGTGATAGTACCTATGGAGGACGGCACAGCACATGAGGGGGTGGGTGGCCAGCACCACGCCCGGCTGCCTTTGTCTCCTCATTGGCGATGTTTACGCATCGCACCAGGTACTCATTTGAGGCTGAGTCGACCTAGGCGAGGCCCGGGACCGGGTCAAATAATCGTCACTGGTGCTGGCCGTGAGCAGGAATCAAACCCAGGCCGCCGGGTTCATAGCGCAGTGCCGCTAATCGCTACACTACCGCTCCCTGCAGCACTTTACCACCCACCATGCCACATTCCTCTTGCGACAGTCAAACCCAAATGTAATTGTCAGAGCTGAAATTTTGCCAAATTCATTGCAGGACCAAAGTGTAATTTAATTGGGCGACCAGGCTGAGACATTAACACATCAGAGCCCAGCGGTAGCGCATTCACCACTTGTTGCAGAGGTTTGCTCTTGGAATCCGGCAGGCCACCCTGGTTAATACTGCGATGAATATATTAACCATAATATACTCCACGGCATCCGCTTCACAATAGGTGTTAAAGATCCCCCGGCGTAATAAAAAAAAGAGTAGGTCATCGTGTGCCATCATCACAAGAAATTTGCGATATAAAAAAACGTTACTCAAATAACAGTCTTGCAACTCTCCTGGTTAAACCAGTGGAATAATAACGAAAACAACAACCAATAATACAAATAAACGTGCACTTGAGTTATTTACAGCTTATAGGATGCAGGAAATTAAACTGTCAGCTTTTGGGCAACTGCCAGTAAATTGGCAAAGGCTGCCCAGCTCCCTGATGCATCAACTGCACAAAAAACTGCGCTCACGCCAACGCAAATGTATCACACACAAGACAGATTGCTTTGCTGGGTAAACATGCACAATGACAACGACAATTACAGTAATTATCACGGGCGGCTGAAACCCAGATTCAAGGCAGCGGCGCTGGCTCGGCTTGAGTCGTCGCTTGCCCGTCACTCGGCGGAGCGAGCAAACGTGCGTGCGAGCGAGCGAGTATGCGTGCGAGCGAGCTTGCGAGCGTGAGTTTGTACGTATGTGTGCAGGAGCGTGCGAGCGTACGTATGTGTGCGTGAGTGCACGTGCGTGCGAGTGTGTGTGCGAGTGTTTGTGCGAGCGGGGGCACTCACGGGTCGCAGCGCTTGGTGCGCTCTTCCCCGTATGCCAGGTTGCGGCACTGGCGCAGGGTGAGCGAGAGAACGCCCACGCGGTAGTCGTACGACACCGAGAAGTTGATGTCGCCGGAGACGCGAGCCGCTCCGCCGCTGCTCCTGGGAGGGGCGTCCGTGTCGCTGCACAGGCTGCTGCTGCTGCACAGGCTTGCCTAGAGGGGACGGGCCGTGGTCACGCGCCGGGACGGGTGGAGGTCCGGCGCTCACTCCACTACAGCTACCACCACGGTTACCGTTCCCGTGACGTTCGCTCACTGCCTCCTCTGCCCATGTTGAGGACTTGGTCTACCAGACACCAGCTGCGTCATCTCGTCCACTACACGTTGTTCGACCAGCAATCACACTGCAGGTCAAAACGCAACCATACTGCTCCACTTTGTAATATTCGCTCCCAGCATCTCATTAACCGAACCTTGCTCGATACAAGAAACGTGTTCCACTCTTATCGATTACAAATTTCACGACAGTGCCGTTTGTTGCTGGCCGTTTGATGTTTTGAGGTGGTGGTGCTCTTTTCCAGATTCATGGGCATGGAGGAGGCCGGAACATTTTTTCCAATGTTCATATTCAATATAAACTATATTTTTAACACTTTGCGACATGGGTAGTCTGAGCCCAGGACTGTCCCAGCTTAACAGGTAAAATTTACGAACTGTACCAAACAAAACACACATCCCCCATAGAGCCTTGACAGACTTCTGGGTCAAGTGCTGTTAGCGAGTCTACTCAGAGCTGATGTTTACTTTTTTCACCGGATACTTATTTAAGGCCGAGTCGACCTAGGGGAAGCCCAGGACTGGTTCAGATATGAATTGTTACTTGTGTTCTGCATGGCTGAGAATTGAACCTCGGTGGCCGTTCCCCAAACACACGCACGCAGCAGCTGTCCACATACCAGATGCCACACTGTTGTTACTATACGTTCGATACTAAAACTATAACTAAACCTATTTTTTATTTTACCAGATAAGGCCCACTGAGCTATGCAGCTCTTTTTCAGAAGCGACCTGGTTATCACAAACGATAGTTCAACGGAATAGCTTATTATGTGGACATTTATAGCAGCCAAATTTATCATTTGACCTCCTTTGCCAGTACCAATATATAAGAATAGGGCTTTTAGCAGCCAAATACTCCAAACGAGTGTTTCTAAATGCGGAGGGAAAAGCCAGAGGACCCAGAGAAAAATCCACGTGGCCACGGGGAGAGAGACATGCAAATTCCAAATATACAGCTCGCATCCAGGTCGAGATGGAACCCACGACCTCCTGTAGACCAGGCGAGAGCGCTCAGCCGGCACTGCTGAGATCCTGGGATTGTATAATAGGCAGTCACCTGCAATTAAACTGAGTTCGCAAGTCTAGACAGTTGATGGTCTTATTCTGGTCACCAATGGCTCTTACGGAAAAATACGCATCACGTTAAGTTTGTTTCTTCACTCAATTTTACTAAATTGTAGTTCTGAGAATTAAAAAAACGTAAGTTTGACTGTCACGCACCGAACATTATCCTCAGTTGCAGAGCAAATGAGATCCGGCTGGGTGGCCCAGCCGCAGTGAGCGGCTCCAGATCAAAAGGTTGTGAGTTCAAATCCTGGGACGTAGTCGATTCAATTGATAATCCCTCCGAGGGTCAATAGAACGAGCACCACTTAGTGGGGAAGCCAACAGTGGTTGTCCTGCGGACAGACTCGCCATAGGAACGTGCAGTTTCTACCGCGGGCTCTGCAAGGGCTGTGAGTGGGATATGTGCAACAACGGCTCAATGCCCGGGTGAGCGTGGACTCGCAATGGGTCCGGTGCGGTACGTATCGAGCCGTACTGAACCTGGCCCCCGGTGGAAGGGGGGGGGGGGTGCTCCCGCCCGCCCGCCGCCCGCCCTAGCACCCGAGCCGGCCCCACGGCGCGACAATGGCACGACGTCGCCACGTTAACTCACGGAATCGCCATCATGGTCGGGGAGGGTCAAGCGCTTCATCCGTTCGGGGGTGAGCTGCGCGGAGATGGAGCCAGGGTAGCGTGGGAGACACACGGGGCCGCTCACGTCACACACGGGCAGGGACAGCAAGGCATGCGCTCGCAGCTCGCTGCTCGCGGCTCGTGGCTCACGGCACGCGGCTCGTGGCACGTGGCTCGTGGCACGTGGCACGTGGCTCGTGGCACGTGGCACACGGCTCACGGCACGTGGCTCAAGGCACACGGCACGTGGCTCAAGGCACGCGGCAGCCACCCAAGCTACGGCACAAACAGCAAAGGCGTTAGTGCCAAGCAGGACGGTAAGGCGCAAGGAACACGGGGTCACAGGCATTTATTAGTCACGCACACACACGTTAGACGCAAACTCGATGACCTCGTTATCAGCTGTTGTGTATGGGTTAGTGTGCAGGTACAATCCACCCTTTGTCAATCTGATGCTGGATGATGGCCTCCCCATGCCTGCAGCTTGCGGGGGTTATGTGACCATACTTCACCACGCTGGCCGGTGAGGGTTGGTAAAGACAGGGAGCGTCCGTGTGGAACACAGACACGCAATAAATATTGCTGCACTGTTCCCAGCTAGCGACCACGTTGTATGTATCCATAATAGAGGTTTTTGTTGGGTTAAATCGCGCAAATATAGATGTGTGCTAAAACCCGCCACCACTCAATACAGCCAATTAGTAAGGTTTGTCCTGTAAACAAAACGTGCCAATTAGTTACTTCTTCAGCACACCCACATTTACAATTTGACTACTTTCGCACCGTACGTAGCCAACCATGCTAATCAGAGGTGCCGTGCAGCTGCCTATAGTAACCCGTTTGTGCCCGCCAATCGGCCACACAAAGCACTATCCAGGGGCGAACCTGCTTAGCTTCTGAGATCTGATAAAATCGAGTCCTTCGTGGGTGATTTGGTTCGGAGCATGGGAATGTGTGAATGTACAAGTCCCCATGTGAAACCTCTGGCCACCCACGCTCAGCGGCAGCTTCTACGCCGCAGAAACCTCGCGATTGTTCCATCTGAGTTGACATATTTGGTGTTCTGAGAAGGGCTGGTGTAGTGTGCCGGAGCGTCCCTGGAAACTAACTAAACTAAAAAATATATAGTTTTGCCAGGTAATGCCCACTGAGCTATATAGCTCTTTTTCACGTGGAAATGTATTGCTGCCAAATACTCTAATCGCGTGATGTTTATTCTAAATGTGGAGGAAAAAACTGGAGGACCTGGAGACAAATCCACGCGACCATGGGGAAAACATGTATACTCCAAATATACAGCAGCAGGCGTTAGGGTCAGGGTCGAACCCACGACCTCCTGTATGCCAGGCGAGGAAGGTAACATCTCCTAGCCACCGTGGCACCTCCACCGGTGTGGCGTGGCGAAGCCGTGCGTCCCAGGCTTCTGGCCCATGCCTTCAGCTTCTTTAGTCAAGGAATAAAGTATCATGTTTAGCACCAAGCACGACGAGACCACGGCACAGCGGCTCCGTCACTGCATCAGCATACTGAATGTCATCTTCACGATGTCACTCGTGTGCTGTAATGAATCGTCTGACTTAGAAAATTAACGTCTGTCTATTCTCATTAACGAAGCTTCAAATTCACATTAAACCAAACAAAGACGAAGATCCCCCACATAGCCTGAACAGACTGTTGGGGCAAGCGCTGTTTACAAGCACCTATAAAGGCCAGCACAGCACACGAGGGGGTGGGTGGTCATCACCATGCCCGGCCACCTTTTTTTCTCCCAAGTGGCGATGTTTAAACATCACACCAGGTACTCATTTGAGGCTGAGTAGACATAGAGGAGGCCCAAGACAAGATCAGATAATCGTCAATGGTGTTGGCCGTGAGCAGGAATCAAACTCGGGTCGCCGGGTTAGTAGCTCAGCACGTTAACCGCTACACCACCGCTCCACGTAACACCATGTAACTGGTATTGGCCAAAACGTCCCAGTGTTGAAAATGTACGTGCAAATTACCCAATGGGGGTGACCACACGATAACACCATCCTCATCACCCACGACTGTGAAGACCTGGCAGTACCCTCCAGGGAAATGAGTGTTGAGGTTCAAGGAGGCTTTCCTGGTGAACCAAGCGGCGTGATGATAACCGGGGAGTGGGGGGGGGAAGTGACGGTGCAGCGAGGGGCCGCCGCACCTGGTTGGTGGTGCTGAGCAGGCTGCTGGTGTTACTCAGCGTCTGGTTGGGAGACACCGGGGGGTCTTCCGTACAATCAGACTACACACACACAAAGACAAAGATCCCCCACTCCCGTATAGCCTTAACAGACTGATGGGGCAAGTGCAGCTAGCGAGCACCTATTAAGGCCGGCACGGCACACGAGGTGGTGGGTGGCCAGCAAACACGCCCGGCCGCCTTTGTCTCCCGAGTAGCAATGTTTAATACCGAACTAGATACTCATTTTGAGGCTGAGTCGATCTAGGGGAGGCCCAGGACCGGTTCAGATAATCGTCACTGGTGTTGGCCTGAACGAGAATCAAACCCAGGTCGCCAGGTTCGTAGTGCAGTGCACTAACCGCAACACTACCGCTCATACCCACACACAAACATTACAAAGATCCCCGTATAGCTTTCACAGACTATTGGGGAAAGTGCTGTTAGCGAATGGCACCTATGAAGGCTGGAACGGCACATGAGGGGGTGGGTTGCAAGCACCACACCCAGCTGCCTTTGTCTCCCTCGTAGCGATGTTTACATACCGATCGACTCAGAGGCTGAGTCGATCTAGGGGCGGCCCAGGACCGGTTCAGATAATCGTCACTGGTATTGGCCATGAGCGGAAATAGAACTCGGGTCACCGTTTTCGTAGCGCAGCGCGCTAACCGCTACACTACCGCTCCCCGCTCATACCCATACACACAGACACACACCAACAAACCTCCTTCATTCTTTGGTTCTTTCGGTAAAGTCACGTATAAAGATAAAATAATAAATTAAATTAAATACTAGCATACGACGTTTCGATTGCAACACAAGCAATCATCATCAGGTATAAATTAAATAGAAACACAAATCTAGTATACTTAGAAATGTAATGTAATACAACAGAGAGTCGGATAACATAACAGTCAACACCCTATCTGGTTGATTACGTTCTTCCTGAGAATGCTATATTTGAGAGAGAGATAAAACACAGAACCAGAGACATATAGACAGACATATAAGCAGACAGATATCACCTCTGGTTAATGCCGCGGGTGTAACGGACGTAGCCAACCATGCTAGGTTAGTTAATTTAGTGTGTCTCTCTCCCTGCCTCCTAATTTTTTCAAGCTTTCGTACCATACCACTCATCGTGCTACTCATTGACATGCTAATTTATCTAACCCCTCTCTCCGCCCCTGCCCCCCTCTCTCAAGCTTTTTACACCTTGCCACTCACCGTTTCCACTCATGGACATGCTAATTTCTCTAACCCCTCCCTCTCTCCCCGCCCCCGCCCCCTTTCTCTATTTAAGGCCTCGACACAGAGGCGTAGTGTCTCTTTGTGCCTATGTTTGCGCTCTCTCTATGTATCTCTGTGATATCTGTCTGCTTATATGTCTGTCTATGTTTCTGGTTCTGTGTTTAATCTCTCTCTCAAATTTAGCATTCTCAGGAAGAACGTAATCAACCAGATAGGATGTTGACTGTTATGTTATCTGACTCTCTGTTGTATTACATTACATTTCTAAGTATACTAGATTTGTGTTTCTATTTAATTTATACCTGATGATGATTGCTTGTGTTGCAATCGAAACGTCGTATGCTAGTATTTAAATTAATTTATTATTTTATCTTTATACGTGACTTTACCGAAAGAACCAAAGAATAATTCCTGCAGTCACGAAAGCTCCAAATCAAGTTTAAACCTCCTTCAGCCTTTACACACCACGGACCATTTGGCCAAATTCCAGCTCTGGCATGCAGAGCAGTACCCTAGGCTTACTGCGAACCGGGGAAGGGGGGGGGGGCATGCTTCGACATCACGGTTGTCAGATGTTATGCTCCCGGTTTAGTTTGAAGGAGTCGGAGGGGGGGGGGGCACACGGTGTGTGAGTTGCCCCGGGCCCCGCCTGCGATAGACATCTCTCTCAGTGGCAGTCTGGGGGTGGCAAGGTGCTGCCCTCTACTGTGTGGACCAGAGGTCACGTGCAGGGCTCTCAAGAGAGAGGCTCTGTGCTATGGGGCCGTGTTCTCACACACGAGTTGCACTGCTCGGTGAGAGAACCAAATGCAGGCTTCGCCCGAAGGAAGCTGATAGCACAATCAGCATGAGATTGTGAGAATATAAAACATTACAATTAAAATAAGAATTGCCTTGTTCTAGCTTTAGGGCCTTCGCTCTATAAAAACTGTGTAGTTTGCTGAAATTAAGTTCAGCACAATACCAGTATCGGAAACTTGGCACAAATCGATTCCTGCCATCCTGTTTGCAGGCGGTAGAACTCCACCAGGGCCCACGGGTGGGCAGGGGGGATGGGCCCAGGCCTGAGGCTATAAGAGCGACGATAGGCAGAGACGGTGCGCACCAGGACACGGGCCCCCCAGGGCCCCCCAGACTGAGCTCACCAACCTTGTGCTCGGGAGTGCCGATGCTGGGGATGGAGCGGGCGGGGGAGGCTGGGACAGGAGATGCTCCGGCTGGCGCGTCAGAGCTGCCCCATGACACTGACAGGCGGCCACAAGCACACATGGGGGGGGGGGGGGGGGGGTGCTCGTCACCCGTGCGCGTATGGGGCACGGGGCTGGCTTACAAAGCAGGGAGATGCCCAGCCTCACAGACGCCCCGGGTCTCACACACACACAGGCAGGCCTTCCTGGCATGTTAGTCAGTGGAGGCCGGTGAAGATCAGGAGAACAGACATTGGATGCACTTATGCGATTTGTATACTTTATTTTTATTTAGTGACTAACTTAGCTTTCCTATTCTTTGCACTCCTATCGGTTTTTATATTATTTGTTGTCAACCTGCTCTACTGAAAAAGCTTCATAGCTCGTCAGATTCTTCCAGTCTAAATACATATTCTGATTTTTATTGATCATAGTACAGTACAACAATGTGCATGCTTGTGCTGTACTTTGTTCTGGTGACCATGTTAGCCTCGCAGATTCTCACGACATGCCAGCACTGTCCCGGCTCAGCGCTGCCGAGCATCCGACGAGATCTCGCGGCCACCACCCACAACTCACATCGTGGGCACACGGTGAAGTTAATGTTGGGCTGGTTCATCCAATGACAGAGAAACAAATGACAACAAGACGAATGTGAAACGTAAAACAATTGTGCTTATAATAAAATAAGAATCATTCTCAAGAAGCGAGCGTGTGTAAAAGAGGGAGGCTTTAGATTTGTTTTCAACATATGCCGTGCTGGTGAACGCAGTGTTCACAAGTCTTTGATTAATTAGCATGGTTGGCTACGTCCGGTGTGAAAGAAGTTCTACATACATCAACAATCGAGTGGTCCATGGCAGGTGAGTGCTAAGGCCGGCTATCCTCCCCCACTGGAGACCCCAAACCCGGACAGATTCCTCAGCCAGTCTAGGTCTGTTCTCAGAATCAGAATGACTTTATTTATGTCCAGTAGGGGCATGGTGTCAGAAAGTTACAACAAACAATACAAAAAAACGATAGGAGTGCAAAGTATAGGAAAGGTATGAAAATCACTGAAAATAAATATATCAACACTGGGTAGCCTATAAAGTTCCACACAACAATCCCGTTATAACCTCCGGTTAGCAGTTGGATACGTACGGCGTGAAATAAGTTCAACCTACGTATGTTGGAGACTCTGCAGCACCTGACAGGTTAACCATAACCTGGGATTTAAGTAGGGAACTCAATAGGTTTGGCCAGCTCATCGTAAGCTGAGACCCAGCACTGGACAATGAGTGACTGGCAAGGAATGTGTACCAGGGTATAACAGAGAGAGACGAGAGGGGAGTTCTGGATGCGGCATGCTGAAGCGTGGTGTGCTTCCTGCCGTGTGCCCGGGGGCATTACCTGTGGCTCATCTCGTAAAGACGCCTGGCTGAGCACGGTGTGAGCTGAATCCTTTCAGATTTCGCCAATGATCGGTTCCTGTCACCCGAGCACGGACACTGATTGCCGGAGTGCCAGGGTCTAGCCCGGCGAGGTGGCGACCCTACCGACGCTCTACCGCCAACGGCGGCACTGGCCGAATTGCGAGTGAGAGAGAGTGAGCGGGGTGGTCGCCTCACCGGTGGAGGGTGAGGAGACGGACGCCGACGGGGGGTGAGGGCTCTCGCTGCTCGACTTCCCACCCACCCTGCTCCCCTGCGGGGATCGCGTCGGGGTCTCCTGCGAGCACGACACGAACGCACGGCACCCTGTTACTCGAGCGGCGCTCCGTCACGCGAGCGGCGCGCGATCGCACGAGGAGGGGTCCCAGAGTGGGCCGTGCATTCATCAACATCTACCACCAGAGCCCCGTGATTAATCGATGTGGTGTCGCGATTCGGAGTCGCGATTCGAAGGGGAGACATGTAAATACGAGTGCGTGTATTTTTAGGTTGCGATGAGTGATTGTTAGACCCTGTAATGCGTTTAACGCAATGCCACGTTCTCTAAGACGTGTTACGCGCAACGAGAAAGGTCCCGCAGTCGATTACTCTGGGCTCTTTTGACGTCATGCCTCCTAAAGGTGGGAAACCCCCCCAACAAGCCACGGACAAAGCGCCAAGTGGCCGATGATGCCAATGATGTCACCAAGCCCCACCCATCGCCCTCTCATCCAAGCGGCACACCTGGGAGCAGAGTGTTATCCGCCGAGTCGAGCGATAGAACAGACAATCGACAGAGTAAAATCGACGGCTTAGGAAATGGGATGGCAGGCCGGCTTGAGGGCGGCGCGCCACCCCGGCACGGGGGTCCGAACTCGCACCTTCCCTCGCGCAGGGCCCTCCATCTTGGGCCCGGGCGACTTGTTAGGCGGCGACAGCGTGGAGGTCGTCGCCAGACGACTGGCGGGGGGCGACGGAAACCCAGAGGACGATGGAGATGAGGAGGACACGCGGTTCCCATTGGAGTCGGTGCGTGTGCCGTCGCGCCTGTGCGGCACGAAGCACATGATCACCGCACGTGTCACCAGAGTTGCCGCGCATGTGACCACGGTAGCCGCGTGTGTTACCGAGGGTATCTCTCTCCCTGTGTTTATGTGGATTTTTCTCCAGGTCCTCCGACTTTTCCCTCCCTATTTAGAATCAACATCATACGTTCAGAGTATTTGGCTGCTATAAATTTCCACGTGATGATAAGCCACTTGTTTGAGCTATTATTTGTGGCCAGGTTGCTTCTGAAAAAGAGCCATGAAGCTCAGTGGACCTTACCTGGTAAAATAAAAAATAGTTTAGCTCGTTCACCCCGCCCAGCACCGCGCCGGCTCTCGCCCACTCGCTCACCTGCGCGGCGGGGAACCTCGGCTCCCCAGCGAGATGCCGTCCGGAGGGGGTAGCAGGGAGCCAGCCGTCGGCACCGACCCGCCAGGGGTTGGGGGGGCGGCAGCAATGCCCGCGGCGGCGGTGGCGACGATGACGTTGCCCCTGCCGCCGGGCGCCGCGTCGCTGGGATACGCCGAGGGGCTGTGTTCGGCGCGGGACGCGGCGCTGCCAGTGAACGGCGGCGCCGCCTTGCCCACGGAGTCTGCTTTGGGGTCGCTTCTGCCAGGAGAGAGAAACGAGCGGAAGCTGCGGGGCGGTACTGCACAGCAGGCGTCGGGCAAGGGGTCGCCATTCGCGCATTCACGGCGATGGCTCTGTGCATATTTTTGGGCGACGGTCAGAAGATGGACCACTGCCCAACGGCCTGCAACAGCCCAGAGGGTGAATGTGGAGGACCGGTGCAGACTGATGCTTATTGAGGAGGAGCGTGACTATTTCAGAACTTTCAATTATTATTGTGAACTGTAATCAACAATCGATTTTTCTTGGGGTTAGATCGAGTAAATATAAATGTGTCGTTAACCCACCACCACCCGATAGAGCCAATTAGTAAGGTTTGTCAGGTAAACAAAACGTGCCGATACAATAAGACTTCTTCACAATTATGGCAAATCGCCTGATGAGTCTGGTTGTTGTTGTTGTAGCCACCAGCGAAACGTCACGGTACTCAAATTGTAAATGTTGTGGGTTTACTCTCCAGCACACCAGTTTGCTGAAGGAGTCACTAATTGGCACGTTTTGTTTACTGTGACAAACCTTACTGGTGGTGGGCTTAACAACACATTTATATCTACGTGATTATGGATAATATTGGTCGTGAAAGCGTACTACTATATCTTTGTGATTGCAGAAATATTTTTCTCCGAAATTAAATATTCACGAAAAGTGAAACCACGACGCGACGACGAGCAGCGCGAGCCTCGTGCGGCGCGGGGAGCCCGGCGCTCACGACCTGCCGGCCACGGACTCGGAACTCAGCCTCCCGGCCCCGTGACTCGAGGGGACTCGGAACTCAGCCTCCTGGCCGCGTGACACGAGGGGACTCGGAACTCAGCCTCCCGGCCCCGTGACTCGAGGGGAATCGGAACTCAGCCTCCCGGCCGCGTGACTCGAGGGGAATCGGAACTCAGCCTCCCGGCCCCGTGACTCGAGGGGAATCAGACCTCAGCCTCCCGGCCGCGTGACTCGAGGGGAATCGGAACTCAGCCTCCCGGCCCCGTGACTCGAGGGGAATCAGACCTCAGCCTCCCGGCCGCGTGACTCGAAGGGAATCGGAACTCAGCCTCCCGGCCGCGTGACTCGAGGGGACTCGGACCTCAGCCTCCCGGCCGCGTGACTCGAGGGGAATCGGAACTCAGCCTCCCGGCCGCGTGACTCGAGGGGAATCAGACCTCAGCCTCCCGGCTGCGTGACTCGAGGGGAATCGGAACTCAGCCTCCCGGCCCCGTGACTCGAGGGGAATCAGACCTCAGCCTCCCGGCCGCGTGACTCGAAGGGAATCGGAACTCAGCCTCCCGGCCGCATGACTCGAGGGAGACTCGGACCTCAGCCTCCCGGCCGCGTGACTCGAGGGGACTCGGACCTCAGCCTCCCGGCCGCGTGACTCGCGGGGAATCGGAACTCAGCCTCCCGGCCGCGTGACTCGAAGGGAATCGGAACTCAGCCTCCCGGCCGCGTGACTCGAGGGGAATCGGAACTCAGCCTCCCGGCCGCGTGACTCGAGGGGAATCGGACCTCAGCCTCCCGGCCGCGTGACTCGAGGGGAATCGGAACTCAGCCTCCCGGCCGCGTGACTCGAGGGGACTCGGACCTCAGCCTTACGGCTTCGTGACAAGATGGGACACCGCGAGGCGCACGCAGGCCCACGCACCTCTCCTTGGCGGCATGAGCGTCGTGGTGCAGCACGCCGTGGGTGGCCTCGTCTCCCCGCTTGTTCCGTGACTTGGACGGCTTCCTGCTCGGCGGCGCGCGCGGCGGAACGCGCAGACAGATGACACAAGTGCCAGCACACGAGCTTGCCACAACATTACCATATGAAAAATATATACGTAAATAAATAACCAATTGTGTTTTTCCGGCTGATGCACCGGCGGGCAAGTGTGTGCGTATGCGTCGGTGCGTGCGGTGACGTCACCCGCATCCCACATTGATGAGCCGGGTTCGCGCGTCGCGACCCACATTATGAATGGCAGTGGATTCTTCGGTCAGGTTGCGTCGGTATAACGTGCGTCGTACACAATGCTGGCCATTGCCCGATGATGCTGCCTGTTACTACCAACGAAACGTCCACACCCAATCATTAAATGTTCTGGATCTCTCTCCAACAACTCACCGGTGGTGCTGAAACAGCAATGAATTTGCAAGCTTGTTCATCACGTGACACCTCTATTGATTGGCTGTGTTGGGTGGAGGGGGGTATGCGACACACATTTTACTCATGCTATCTGACCATTGGGATTGTTTGACCATACTTCACCATGTTGATTGGTGAAAGGCGGTACCCAGAACCAGTTTAGATATCACTCACCACTGCTAATTCGGCCGTGGCTGGGAATCGCACTCAGGTCACCTTGTTGGCAGCCTAAAAACATGTTTTATTTTACCAGGTAAGGCCAACTGAGCTATACAACTTTTTTTTCAGAAGCAACTTAGCTACAAAGGATAGCTCAATGAAGCGGCTTATCACGTGGAAATTTATAGCAGCAAAATACTCTAAAAGTGTGATGTTGATTCTAAATGTCGAAGAAACAACCGGAGGACCCGGAGAAAAATCCACGCGACCACAGGGAGAGAGAGACACGCAAACTCCAAATATACAGCAGCAGGCGTCAGGGTTGCATTGAACCCACAACCTCCTGCATACCAGGCGAGGGAGTCAACATCTCCTAGCCACTGTCGCGTAGGGAGAGGCAGGGCGGCAGCGGCGGTGGCGAGGAAGAGGAGTCACCTGCTGAGCCCGTAGCTCTTGGTGTTGTCGGCGGGCTTCTTGGAGGCAGAGCGGGTGGCCGTCGGGGTGCCGACCGCAAGGCCGTTGTTGGGCTTGGCGAGGAGCTGCTCCGGGGGGGCGCGAGCGTGCGACTCCAGGAAGATGTCCCCCGCAGCCTCGCGCTTTTTCTCTGCCGCCGCCGCCGCCATCACGAGTTAGCCAGTGGGTCGCGCGGGGGCGAGAGGACAAGCAGCGTGCACGCAGAAGGAGATGCCATGGTGATCGGCGGCGCAGATATCGAGTACAGCAGGCGGCCCACGGGCCGGAAGGGGCCAGGTGGGACCCAGGCTGCTGGTCTACGAGGCACTCAATGGGTTAGCCCCACAATCTTTACAGGAACCGGTTTGTGTTTACTCTCCCAACGAGGTCCCTTAGAGCTTTAGATTTCCTTCTCTTCTAAGGACTCCGAGGTCAAGGGTCTGTTCCTGCAGGGGTGATCGCGCTTTTGCCACTGTGCAGCTCCCAAACCTTGGACCAACGTTTTGCCCTTTGCTAATACGACAATCAGAGTCGTCGGATATATATTTAGTATGTCTTGAAAACTCACGTATTAAACTGGCCGTTATCCCCTACTTCTGGCCGTTAACTCTGCAGGTTGTGTTTATTTATGGCTTTCCATACACTGGGTGCAGTGGGATCTACGTATGAAATGCGCCTTAAATATGTGAATTATTATTTCCTTCCTTGTACCAGGGCCCGTGCCACTGGAAGTGAGGTTCATCAGCTCCACCTGCGTGCAATTTGTGCGATGGCTTTGTAATTATCGCGCTGGAATTCCAATTCGCCACTTCCCCGTGCAAGCGCTGGTGACGGAATGGCAACCAAATGGGAGAACGCGATGTGCAGGGGGGAGACCACTGCGGAGATGGAGCGCTGGAATCTGCCTCGCCCGCCGGTGTGCGCCATCGCAGGACCGTGGGGGAAAATGACGGCGTAGAGATGGACAATGGCTCATGATGACCATAATGAAGATAACGATAATGGTTTTTTGTAAAAATCAATGAAGCGGTTAAATATTATTTACCGTTAAAAAAAACGGCACAGCACTCAATCAAAAGTAATACATTGTAGATGTATCAATCCTATTAAGACACAATTGTCACGGTGGCTAGGAGATGTTAACGGTCTCGCCTGGTATACACGAGGTTGTGGGTTCGATCCCGACCCTGACGCCTCTGCATTTGGAGTTTGCCGTGTCTCTCTTCCTGTGGTCGCGTGGATTTTTCTCCGGGTCCTCCAGTTTTTGCCTCAACATTTAGAATCAACATCATGCGTTTAAAGAGTATTTGGCTACTTGCTGTAAATGTCCACGTGATAATAAGCCACTTCGTTGAGCTACTATTTGTGATCGCCAGGTTGCTTCTGAAAAAAGAGCGATATAGTTCGGTGGGCCTTACCTGGTAATATCAAAACGTTTAAAAAATATATTTTAACTGAATTTTAGGACTCCCGAACAAAATAGATTGGAGGAGAAGATGAGTGACACCAGGACGCATACCAACAGCTGCCGCTTTCACTGAACACATTATAGGGGGAGCGTCCACGATGCAATGTGGCCGTTGTAAAGTGAAAGCCAGCCAATGGCCGGCTTTCACTTGACAACATTTCCTGTCTAATGAAGTAGGGTTAGGCATGGGTGACGCTCTTTTGTTTTGGGAAGGTCCTGAATTGGGCCATTTGAACGTTGAGTGTCTCCCATAGGAGAGGAAACAGCGGTCCCGGATAAAACGCAAGAAGTCGTACGAGGGGATCACAGCTGCTCAGCAGGAGGCCTCGCCTTAGCTGAGCGTGTGACAATATTATACCAGACGGTGTGATGCTGTGATGCTGTGATGGTGTGATGGTGTGATGGTGATGGTGTGATGGTGTGATGCTGTGATGCTGTGATGGTGTGATGGTGTGATGGTGATGGTGTGATGGTGATGGTGTGATGGCGATGGTGTGATGGTGTGATGCTGATGGTGTGATGGTGTAATGGTGTGATGGTATGATACTGTGATGGTGATGGTGTGATGGTGTGATGGTGCAATGGTGTGATGGTGTGATGGTGATGGTGTGATGGTGATGGTGTGATGGTGATGGTGTGATGGTCTGATGGTAATGGTGTGATGGTGTGATGGTGTGATAGTGATGGTGTGATGGTGATGGTGTGATGGTGTGATGGTGATGGTGATGCTGTGAGTGATGGTGTGATGGTGATGGTGTGATGGTGTGATGGTGTGATGGTGATGGTGTGATGGTGATGATGTGATGGTGTGATGGTGTGATGTGTGATGGGGTGATGGTGATGGTGTGATGGTGTGATGGCGTGATGGTGTGATGGGGTGATGGTGTGATGGTGTGATGTGTGATGGTGTGATGGTGTGATGGTGTGATGGTGATGGTGTGATGGCGTGATGGTGTGATGGTGTGATGGGGTGATGGTGTGATGGTGATGATGTGATGGTGTGATGGTGTGATGTGTGATGGGGTGATGGTGTGATGGTGATGGTGTGATGGTGTGATGTGATGGCGTGATGGGGTGATGGTGTGATGGTGTGATGTGTGATGGTGTGATGGTGATGGTGTGATGGTGATGGTGTGATGGCGTGATGGTGTGATGGTGTGATGGGGTGATGGTGTGATGGTGATGATGTGATGGTGTGATGGTGTGATGTGTGATGGGGTGATGGTGTGATGGTGATGGTGTAATGGTGATGATGTGATGGCGTGATGGTGTGATGGTGTGATGTGTGATGGTGATGGTGTGATGGGGTGATTGTGTGATGGTGTGATGGTGTGATGGTGTGATGTGTGATGGTGTGATGGGGTGATTGTGTGATGGTGTGATGGTGTGATGGTGTGATGGCGTGATGGTGTGATGGGGTGATTGTGTGATGGGGTGATGGTGTGATGGTGTGATGGTGTGATGTGTGATGGTGTGATGGTGATGGTGTGATGGTGATGCTGCGATGCTGTGGGTCTCACTCTGCCGGCGTCTCAGCGATGCTGTGACGATGTCGCTGCCATCGCTCGCTGCGCATGAGAAGCGCTCGGCACGAGCCTGGCGGAACCACTCCCCAGAGGCGGTGCGGATCTCCCTGCACGCCACACCATCTCATCGTGCGTCAAATCATCACTTGTCACATCGTGCGTGAAATCATACCATCTCATCACACGTCGCATCATCTCATCACGCATCACATAATCTCATCACACATCACGTGTCCCATCATCACATCACACAATGCGTCACATCACACATCACATAGCATACGCATCCCATCGCACATCATTCATTTGCGGAATGAGACACTGGGAAACCAAATTGAGCTCATTCAACGTGAACCACTGACCGATGTGCTATGTGTGGTGCCCTGCGAGGCTACAATGCGCATGCTCCTATAGCTGTCTGGGTAATTCCGCACCACTGTGCCCTACATTCAAATGACCCTGATCGTGCCCGATCATGTCGCACCTCAGATGCTAAGCAGGCTTGAGCCTGGTTCGTATATGGATGAGCGACCCCGCATCTACGATTATCACGGTTGGCTACGTGCGGTGCGATGGAAGGTCAACGTACATACATAGTGTATATCAGGCGTTATAGGCTTGGGGTGGGCAATGGCCAGGGGATGGCAGTAAAGTCATGGGTTCAGGATTCCAAATGATTGAATGGATTGGATGCAAGGATTATTTGTGCGTAGCGGTTCTCCGGTTTAGATTGTAAACTCGTTTCTTTAGAACTACTCTTAGTGTTTAATTTATATACCTGTCAACTCCTTATCAGTGCCCTACCTTATTACAGACTAATTCAAACCGTATTGGTCACCCCGTGCCCTTATAAATCTCAACGTCCATCCTACAAAGTCCCATCACAAGGTAGAAACACAAACAAATAGACAGCCAAATTGAAACGGCTGCACACCGTACGGACCTGAAAACTCAATTTCCCTGTACAAGAATACGAGTGAACCATCTGGGTGGACAGGCATGAGTTTGTTGTCCTTCCCCCGCACCTCCCGATTAGCGTGGTTGACATCGTACGGTATGAAAGAAGCTCGATGTACATACATGCTATCATTAAAAAAAACACTTGCTAACATTCCGCATCGTTGTGGAGAATGAAGCTACTTAGATTCTCCACTGCAACGCTAATCATTATTTCGAGTTGCGTATGATATAGCTGTGTATGATATCAGGACCAATATCTGACAAAGAGGGTCCTGCTGAGAATGATAAGCTTAATTTACACTGGAGGAATCTGATGAGCTATTAAGCTCTGCTTCACCGACGTCCAGTAGGGGCATGGGATTTGAAAGTTATAGCAAACAATACAAAAGCAGGATAGGAGTGCAAAGTTCAACAGCATAGGCTCAAGCAAGCCTGACTATGCAAATGAGATCCTGAATGCCGAAAACAGACCAGAGTTTACTATTTATTAATTTTTTATTGTAATAATAGTAAGGCACCAATGAGCTATATGGCCACAAGTGATAACTCAACGAAGTGGCTTATCGTCACGTGGACATGATAGAAGCCAAATACTTGCTTGTTTTTACCCAATGCTGCCATTTAATTATGCACTCCCAGAAGGCCGTTTAGCCAAATGGAATGTGCGAAAATAAAGCTTTTTGTATTTTTCACGCAGAGAGACAAACTGTGCGAATGAGGGAGTATTGTCTGCTTGTCGTGTTCCTCATTCATGCAGTTGGCCAAACAACCAAATCCAGATCCAGGATCCTCTTGAGGAGACTCAGAGAGGCTCTCCCTAGGGGTCATCATTTGTTTGTGGACTTTTCAGATTGAACGCGTGGTTTGACAGGCAAATGCCTGCGGGTGGGCATCGTGTACGTTTCGTTTTGCTCTCGCTGTGTTACGTTGGAGGCGTCCACACTGAAGGATGAGTTTCTGAAAGAAAAGAAAAATGAAAATATAAAAATGAATAAAATGGAAGATAAGTCTTCTTCACAATGCGCACCACATGGTGCCAGGCCCTAGGCTCCGTGGCCCGACCATACCGCGGCACCCCTGGCTGACCCTCACCGCGCACTGCACGATCCCAGCAAGGCTGAACAGAGTCCTCCTGTATAAGAGTCTCGCACTCCGCCAGGTTCTCTGGGGTAAGAAGTGTTCTAACTCAATTATATATTTTTAGCCTTTTACGAGTCTAATGCTTGATGAAGGCCTCCTCGCGCCAAGTCGGTTGGTCGTGGGGGAGTTGCTTGGCCATACTTCACCGCGCTGGTCAATGTAGTAGTGTGCAGCCCGGAGACCGGCTCAGATACCACTCCCACTGACGTTGCCTGAGGCCGAGGATCGAACTCAAGAAGTCAGGTTCCTAGGCACAGTGTGATAACCATTGCACCACCAATAATAATCAAAACCTACAATCACGTATTATTATTATTGTCATTGACACATGGTTACATGCCTAGGCCAGCACACTATGCCAGGAGCATGCTTGTGATCCAGCGGGTTTGTGGAATAGCCGAGATTATTTGTAAAAATGCCAAATCCTGGTGTGGTGAGGCGGTACGGCAAAATGGGTTCGAAACATTTCCTTAGAAAAAAATCAACTGGGAAAACATCCCGACGTGGATCAACAAGATCTTGAGACTCAGCGAGGGCTGCCCTGGACTAAACAGAAGATCACGGTTGTTAGTTAGGAGAATGTACAGGGGCATGCAGAGTGCACACGGCCCTCAAACGGCGCGTCTCCTGCTCCTCGCCCGTCCAGCAGGAACCGCACGTGACAGAGATCACCGCTCCGGGTTGTCGGCGTCAACGTCGCAAATAAAATAAAATATCTCTCTCAATGCCCGTGCCACGGAGGGCGCTGCACGGGTACCCGAGGATCTCCCTACCCTCCCGTCGCGGTCAGCGCGGTGAAGTGCGCCGGCGGGATTGCGAGGAGTGGATCGTCAGAGCGAGGAGAGTTGAGGACGAACAGAATGAATTGGCAATTTTGTAATGGGATATTAATTTTTCGAAATTTGGATGTTTGGCCAATACCGCGGTTACACTCTACGGGTTGAGTTTGTGTTTAGCTGTGCGAGGGAAACTGGAGAACCCGGAGGAAACCCATGCAGAACAGGGGGAGACAATATACAAATTGCACGCAGAAAATCGCTCTGATGCACTGTGTGGCATAGTGCCACCTGAATGAGAAAACAGTGGAAAGTTTGCCAATTTGCCACCAAATCTTGATAGGAGCACCTTACCGGCTGTCTGTGAACTGGCCCTCTGGTCGGTCACACTGTTGTCGCTCCACGTTCCTTGCCAGAAAACCTAACCTCTTCATTATTCCTGAACAGCAGACACCGTCATACACAAGACAAAGATCTCCCGTACAGCCTTGAACAGACTGTTGGGACAAGTGCTGCTAACAAGCACCTACAAAGGCCGGCACGGCACACGAGGGAAGGGGAGGCAAGCAACACACCCGGCTGCCTTTGTCTCCCAAATGGCGATGTTTACACACCACACCAGGTACTAATTTGAGGCTGAGTCGACCTAGGGGAGGCCCAGGACCGGGTTAGATAATTGTGGCTGGCGCTGGCCGTGAGCAGGAATCAAACCCAGGTCGCCAGGTTCGTAGTGCAGTGCACTAACCGCTACACAACCGCTCCCCCCACACATATACAAAAACAAAGATCCCTCATATAGCCTTAAAAGACTGTTGGGCAAGTGCTGTTAGCGAGCACCTATGAAGGCCGTCACGGCACACGAGGGGTTGGGTGGCCAGCACCAGGCCTGGCCGCCTTTGTCTCCCGAGCAGCTGAGTCGACCTAGGGGAGGAGGCCCAGGACCGGTGGAGGTATTGGTCGCTGATGCTGGCCCTGAGCAGTAATCGAACTGGAGTCACCGGGTTCGTAGCGCACACACACAGAGGCCTGTGTTTACATTTCCGTCATTGTATTCAAAATACGCAGCTGCCATAGACTGCGTTCAGCGTACGAATCTGGAGCCCGACGTAGCGCTCTCAGAGCGTGCCATTGATCGCAGCTGCAGAATCGTCGTGTTCTTCCACTGGGATCACGACATCTGAACTGCTCCTGGGCACCCCCACTTCACTGACCGGCGTGGCGAAGTACGGTCCAACAATCCTCACGATGGACATGGTGTAGGGCAGTCTTCATCCTGCAGTGAGTGGACACATGACTGTAAATTTAAAACTATTCTGTTTAATTATTAATCTGCCCCATTACGGCCGGGAGGTTCTATGGCTCGAGCACTTAAATCACGATCGGAAGGAAGCGTGTTTAAATCCCAGTCGCGGGGTTGACTATGCCTAGCATCACGTTAGGGTTTATAAAATCAATAACGCATTGTGGTAAGACGGCCGTAACTGGTTTATGTGGAATTCCCAACACACTGGGTTCAGGACAAAATTTGAGCGCTGTCCAAAATTAATTTCTGACCAAATATTTTCCAGGCCGCTGTTAGACTGGAGCAGGCCTGTTACCAACAGCAGCAGCCACAGCCATAAGAGGTGTACAGGACGTGGCGTTTTCCACTCGTGGATATTAGGAGCCGGCTGATATGAGGCCTTGGTGCCGTCTCGACAGCCCGTGCTCGGGAGTTACACCAGTAACCGCCTCTGTGAACGAGCCACCGCGGAGCAGCAAGAGTGAAGCCGGAGAGGGCTGCCTTGACGTGCCCTTGGGATTGCTCTGGCAAACTCCAAAAAGGCGACGATTCACAGCTGCTCTCCCGCTTAAGGCTGTTTGTGTTTTTTGTCCGGGTAAGAGGATGCCAGCCGGGGTGGGGGGTCCTTAATTCGTACAAAATAGGAACAAACACAACATTGAGAACACATCGATCACATGCTGCAGCCACCGCTGCGCCCCGTGCTCTTACAGTGCACCGATTGGGATCACAAGGAGCGGCCGTTTTCTAAAAACACGAGCGGAGCGAATGGGGCTTGGCGCTGGGACCCTCCTCGTGCACACGGCCCCCCCCCCCACCGGCTCCACGACAAGCTGAGAACCCTCCCTGTGCCGTTGTCACTCGGGGTTGTTTGGCCACGCGTCACCACGCTGCTCATCAGTGGCTTGATGCAGGTGGTAGCCCCAGGAATAGTTGAGGTATCACTGGCCACTGACGTTAGCAGCGACCGGGGAATTGAACTGGGATTCGCCAGGTCCCCGGTGCAGCACGCAAATTACGGCGCCGCCGCTCGAGCCCATTCAAAGCTCTCCGGCATTTCAAACTCGGGTACAACACGTTTCCTCACCAGAACCACAAAGTCAGCATGACACTCGGCACCGGGTACCGTGGCCTGAGAAATGAAAAACAGGTGGCAAGAATTGGCCCTTTCTCACAGCACACTGTAGCCTCACCGACTCAGTACACGAGAGGAGAGGGCAGGAAGCCTGTGCGTGCAGGGACAACCGGTCCGTGTCCCCACCTTCCTGTGCTGCCACCTCTCTGCTCGGATCCTCACCCTCCTACCCAATGGCACACGATCGGCTAACACGATCGGCCAACGCAGCCGGATCTCACGGTCAGCCAACGCAGCCAGATCTCACGGTCAGCTAATGCAGCCGGATCGCTTCCCTCCTTCAGCGAGTATCCTCGCACAGCCCCCGGTGTCCACCCGTTACCGGATGAGAGCCTCCCTCCGCCGTACGCGTCACAGGGATTGCTCGGACACATCTCAGCATGCTGGTCAGGGCGGGTTGGCGAAGGAATTATGGATAGATCGTTGAACCGCAGTACAGCATGACAATGGACTTGTCTGCACTGCTCTCCGTTGCTCACCCCAGCAACCCGGCAAGCAGCCTATAACACCTGTTACGCTCGTGGTGGCCACGCGTCCAAGCACTCTGCCAGGCTCAGCCCAGCCGAGCTTGAGGAGAATTTTGCGTGTGCACATTCTGAAGCTGTATTGGACACTGTCTACAGGAAAGCCACCCATATGGATGCCTACCTAAAACCTGACTCCCACCACCATCCATGCCAGAAGAATTCCCTCCTCAAAACTCTACACCATAGAGCTTGATGTATTTCTGACCATCATCGCCTAGCCAGTGAACTGGAACATGTACACCAAGCTCTCAAGATGACTGGATATTCAGACTACACAATCCGAAAAGCTATCACCCCAACAGTTGGGAAAGAACCATCTGAGGACCCAATCAAAACCATCACCTTGCCATACATAGCAGGGGTCACTAAAAAATATTTACAAAATCATGGGCAAACACAAAATCCAGGTTTGATTTAACACAGAATATAAAATTTGTGATCTGATCCCATCTGTGAAGGATGTGATCCCTGACATCCAATACCCCGGCATCTACAAACTAAGCTGTGTCTGCGGCAGTAGTTACATTGGGGAAACTAAGCGACATGTCTTGGACCGTGTTCGTGAACATAAGGCAGATTTGAAACACGGTAGGACCAATACCTCGGCCGTGGCTGATCATTGTTTTAATGTGGTGGGCTCACACGAAATTGATTTCTCTAAGACAAGGGTACTTTGCAAGCCCACTGGCTATCAACAAAGATTCGGTCATGAAGCCATCCATATATAGACACAGACACAATTTCAACCGAGAAGATGGGTACAAACTGAGCAATCATTGGAAGGACATTATTAACCAGTTTAAGTCATAACTGGCTGTGATGTTTACATCCTACCTTATTTTCGAGTCTAACATTAACAGGTTAAATGTCTCACGAACACAGCCACCGTTGCTCGTTTTCCTCGATGTGGTGGTGGCTCTGTAATCTTACATTGACATGCTAATCTCTCACAATGCAATGGCCACCTCCGCAGCTTCGTCGTCGTGGAGGTAGCTCTCCGATCTTACATTTACATGCAAATTTTTCACTTCAACATCACTAGCCCCACCCCGTCGCTTATGACCCTTGGGCTACACCCATTTCAAACCTTTAACACATCCTGCCTCAGCAGCTTTCCCGCTGCTGAGGCAGGATGTGTTGCGAGCGAAACGTCGTAGTTTTTTGTTATTTTCTTTGAACCTATCTACGTGACTTTACCGAAAGACCCAATAATATGAATTCCTGCAGTCACGAAAGCTTTAAGTCAAGATTCTGAAGCTGCTTGTAATCACCAACGGAACGTCACAGTACTCGAATTTTTTATGTTGTGGGTTTACTCTCTAACACACCGGTGTGCTGAAGTAGTAACTAATTGGCACGGTTTTTTTACATTGGATAATATTGGTCGTGAAAGCCTACGGGTTTGTGTACGTTGTGAAACGCAGAAGCGACCTGGCTATCAAAAATGATAGTCCAACAATGTGGCACATCAATTTATAGAAGCCAAATACTCTAAAAGGTAGTGAGCGTGACCCCACAGCCCAGAGAGGTTCCACGGCGGGCACCACCACTACCATCAAGTTCCCACCACTGAGTGTGATTACAGTGAAACTGCTATTCTAGAAAGTGTGGCACGAGGCACGTTCTGTTTAGATTCGAATTCAGATTTAGTGGCTTTTGCAAGATTCAGTTTCAAAATTATTTTTCACCGTACATAGACAACCGTGCTAAACAGAGACAGATGTAATAATCGACCCAGACCATTCTGATGAACTAGATGAATGAGCTCACAAACACGCCTACTTCCCATATCTGTCTCTCGACAAATGAAAACGTATTTTCATACACATCCCATCAGTCACACAGCCTTTTTGGTGCGCAGCATTGGTTCAACACAAGCAACCTGGAACTAGCACAACAGCCACATTCTTAACACGTGGTGCATGCTGGGAGAAGGCGCTTCAGCCACGTCACAACACACGGTGCATGCTGGGAGCCGGCACTACATACACTTCACAACACGCGGTGCATGCTCGGACTATCAGTACAGCCGCTTCACAACACGCGGTGCTTGCTGGGAGCCGGCACTACAGCCACGTCACAGAAAAGCGGTGCATGCTGAGAGCTAGCATTACAGCCATGTCACAACATGCGGTGCATGCTGGGAGCCAGCACTACAGCCACATCACAACACGCGATGCATGCTGAGACTAGCAATAAAGCCACGTCACAACACGCGGTGCATGCTGGGACTAGCAGCACAGCCACATCACGATACGCAGTGCATGCTGGGAGCCCGCACTGCAGCCACGACACGAAACGTGGTATATGCTGGGAGACGTCACAACATGCGGTGCATGCTGCGACGAGCAGTACAGCCACATCACGACACGCAGTGCATGCTGGGAGCCCGCACTACAACCACGACACGAAACATGGTGTATGCTGGGAGACGTCACAACACGCGGTGCATGCTGGGATTAGCAGTCCAGCCACGTCACGACAGAGAGGAGAGGGGTAGAGAGGGGTAGAGTGGGCGCCTCCGGCTGCTTACGCCTCACGGTGGCACGCCTCGCACTGCCACTCGCCGCCTCCCGCGCGCGCACCGCCGCCCCCCCCCTTGGCGGGCACCCGGCACGCGCGGCACACGCGCTGCAGGCACGCGGGGCACAGGTCCCCACCGGCCAGCCAGGCCCAGCCCAGGGGCTGCAGGCATCGCGCGCAGCTCCCGTCGGGGACGCCCTCACCAGCGGACTGCACGGCCACCAGGGCCTGCTGGCCGCGGCCCTGGCCCCGGGCCGCTCCCTTCTCGCGCAGGCGCTCGAGCTCGCGGCGCAGCCGCCTGGGATCACAAGCGAGCGAGTGCATGGAGGGGGGGGGAGCGCAGGGGGACGACGTGGCTCAGCGCTGCTCATTGCTGGCCGCTCGACATTTTTGGCCTGTGGTCAGCAACTGCTTTTTTATTAAAGCGCGTCAGGGTAGCGATCCACATCCTGGGATTGAAAGTGGCCTCCGGCCCGTGGCATGACCTTCAACTGTGTTCCCAAGTGCGGCGAGTTGATGGTGTCAGCTCCATCACCAATGACCCCGTTGTATGGATTCGGGGTTTCACTTCAAGTGGCTATGTTCCAGCTGCAAGAGATTAATATGATTTGGGGAACTGCCGTGTGATGAACATTTCACATGGAGCGGAGCTCTCTGAGAAAGTCCAGCGCCCCCGAATGTGTGGATTCTGGGGGTGCTGGATATCGCCTTCCGCAATTTCCGTTGCTTAACGCGGGGTGATGCACTGCTTCCTTCGAAGGTTCAGAATGGATACTTCGTCTCTGCGTACAATCTACCGCAAAAGTGTTTCGGTCATTTATCTGCCGAGGCCATTCCCTGACAAGCTGATAGGACAATACAGTAATAGCGCAGGACTATCTTCACGAGGTCGCAGTGTCTCACATACGCAGTCCGCAGGAGTTTCGCAGTTGGGGGCAATATCGCTGTGTGATCCCAAATTGAGTAACTGGCGTTGTAAATCCTAGTACTTGGCCAATACGGATCTTGACGCCAGCACACAACGGTATGTGGTATTTCACGGTTAATACTGCCACGCCCACCGCCGAAGTAATAACCAGGCGCGGCCTGCCAGTTGCAAACCGTGAACCTCTGTGACAAGCGAAGAGCTCTGGGCCACTGCTGAACCGCGTCACCGCCCCCCTTGCTGATTGTTGCCGCTTCGAGGGCGGCTGACGAAGGTTGTACTCTGAGAGCGGCCGTCACAGCTGATCGTTGTGAACCGCGCCACACGTGAGCATCCTAACTAGGCCGGGGCGCACGTACGATGCGCCAATGGTCCATTCGCTACGTAACAAGGACCGAGCGACGTCTGCAGATTATGTTCAGCGTGCTTCACCACGCCGGAGTGGACAGGAAAAGATGGGAGGAGTGCAAAACCAGGATAAAACCGTGCTACGCTTTTATTTTTAAAATCTTTATCATCAATATATATATTTTACCATGTAAGGACCACATTCTATATAGCTCTTTTGCAGAAACGACCTGGCCACAAATGGTAGCCTAACGCAGTGTAAATTTAGGTGTGATGTTGTTTCTAAATTTAGAGGGGAGAAATCGGAGGACCCGGAGAAAAATCCACGCGACCACGGGGAGAGAGACATGCAAACTCCAAATCTACGGCAAGAGTCAGGATCGGGATCGAAGCCACTACCTCCTGCATACCAGGTGAGGTAGATAACACCTCGCCACTGCGGTGGTCCTGATCTGACCGGTGGGACACACGCTCCCCCGCGGTTTAAGAGCTCCTGACGAGCCGCGGGATAAACCCGACCCCGCGAGTGCCGCGGATGCTTCGAGCGGGGGGAGGACCGCTGCGCCGACAGCCTCACGGCACGGCTCTGAGACAACGGCACCGGAGGGGTCCGAAGACATGGGCGGCGGTCACGGAGACCGCCGTGGCACCCGGGGGCCGCCCGTGGCCGAGCGGGACGCGTTGCGGTGAGCGGCGCAGGGGATGAGAGCGATGGGCACCAAGCTGTGGGGTGGGGGGGCGGGGTAAGTGGGTCGTGCGGAGATGGAGCCACGGAGCAGATGGAGTGTCGGCAACATGGTGGGTTCGTGTCTCAAGCTAGCGCAGCAGCATCCTCAAGAGATTCGTATTTGGGGATGGTAAAAGTCCACATTCTACACCGCAGAGGTATCCGGTCCGTGTCTGTAAAGCACCGCTTGTTATTACACCTCGCTGCAAAATTATATCCGATTATTATTATCATCGTTATTGTTGTGCGGTATGGCCCTTGAGTGTTAGTTTTATGCTCCGTCAGGTGAGTGCGGCTTTTCCAATCTGTGCAAATGGGAAGAGAGACATTAATACGGAGAGAGAGGGTCACGCCACAAAGGCTCAGAGCAGGGATTTCTCGAGTGAGTGCCACGCGAGGTGGCAACACCACAGCAGCTTGGACACCTCGAGATGGTCAATAAAAGTGAAATGCTCTACATGTGAGTGAGGAGAGAGCCCTTGCAAATGACCGGAGCGGGTTTGAAGCACCGTTAAAAATTTAAGGGTTTTTTTTTCGGTCACACCGAGAAATGTTTATCACTTAAATGCTTTGCTGCTGCTTTCTGCTCTGGGACTTGGACTGGCAGAGGAAATGCAAAAGCGTTTCCCCATCAGCAAAACAATTGACCGTGTTATGGTCACAAGCGTCAGAATGATAAACGATCATTAACCGTTTATACGAATTTTTTTATATGCAAATGCTGCCTCTCGGCTAATGGCAGAAACGGGAAAATGCACGGTGCAAATGAGACAACAAGAATCAATTCGTGGACGTGATAGGGGTGGCTCCCTAAGTGTGGACAGCTCCCACGTGGGCCGCTTACAAAGCGCTCCCACGTGTAAGCCTTTCTGTAAATCCACTGCTGGACGGGGGCCTCCCCTCATGCCGTGCGGGCTCGTGGGAATGATTTAACCACGCCCCTCCACTGGCCAAGTACAGGACAGCAATGCAGTTTTCCTGCACTGTCCTCTGCTACCCGCCACGTAGCTCCACAAGCCCGATGACGACCTGTGTGAGCACGTTGACTCTACCGCTGTGGCTCTACTTTGGTGGCTCTACCGTGGTGGCTTCCCAGGCATATCAAAACTGGATGCCCTGCATGTGCTTTGGCGGTCACGATCACAGAGCTCTGAGGATACCCCGGTTTCTCTGGATGCCTCTGGTAAACGGGAAGTTCCATCTCAAGCGACGTTCCAGGTGAACTATTTTAATGAAACGGAAAAAAAACGCGAGTACACAACGGCGGTCTCAGCGAATCACGCAAATCGGGTCGACTCACCGAACCCTCTGCGCCTCCATCTCCCTCAGCGTCTTGTCCCTCTGCAGCACGCCCAGGATGGACTCCTTCTCCATCTCGGTGAGGAAGCTCAGGTCCACGGTCTCCTCCTCGCCGGACATGGCTGCACGCGTCGGTCACGGCCGCTCCTCGCGTGGCGTTCCGTGGGCTCCTCAGGACTCCTCGTCCGCGACCCCCCCGCCTCTATATCCGCCCCTGTTTCAAGGCGTCGAGGTGAACTTTGTCGCCGTTTCTGATGAAGATGCTCAAAGGCAACCGAATCCACAGGGGCCTCGCGATCCTCCCTCTCTCTCCCACCCGCCAACCACTCTCCTCTCTTCGGCCGGGCCGCCCAAATGCCTCGACTCCGCCGACTTCGCCCCGGGAATCTCACGATTCGTACCACGGCCACTCACCGCACACCTTCAAAATCTGTATATATATTTTAAGAAAAAACGTCTCATTCTGTCTGTAAAGTCACAGAGATAGGTTCAAAGAAAATAACAAACCTATCGACGTGACTTTACCGAAAGGAAAGACCCAAAGAATATGAATTCCTGCAGTCACGAAAACTTTAAGTCAAGATTTTCGTTCTGTTTGCTCAAATTCCCGGTCTAAGTTTTAATTCTGATGTCCTTACCTCCTTCTGTCCATCTTCAAATCATCCATAAAATGTACATAAACCGGTTGTTCTGAATGAGGAAGACACCTGGACGACGCTGCCCGTTGGGTGAAGACGCCTCGGCGAGCGGAGGGCCGCCGCCGTCGTCTTTCAGTGTTGTGGGGCCTGTACCCGGTCGCGCTGCAGCTGCCGGCTCGCTCACCACGACGACCCGCGATAGCGCAGCGGCGTGACGATGGCTGCCGTCCAATCAATGCGGACCTCTCCCGTGGAGCGTGCAGCCCATGCCGCTCTCCTCCGCTCGCTTGTCCAAACTCAAAATGTCACGCGACGAGAATGCCGATACGGCGCCGGTGCCGGTGGAGGTAACGCCGCTGCTGTTCAATCGGAGGTCACCTTCCTCGCTCTCCGCCTCCTGCGGAGACTCGTCAATGCGGAGGTAGTGCTCTGTGAGACACGGGGGCTGTGCCAAACCAGGGGTGACTAAATGTGGGATGGCGATGCTGCTGCTTCTGCTGCCACTGCTGCTGCAGAATGCGAGGCAGATTGGCGAGTGAGCTGCGGGTTCATCGTGCTCCCGGCAGCCCTCCCCGCCTGCGCTCGCTCCTTCGGGATATCCTCTCCCTCCAGCTGCTGGAAAATAACAAACCAGTCGATCAGACATTGTTCAGGGCGTGCAGAGAAAACGCAATGTAAGGGTTTGTATTCACAGGGCTTAAATGCCTCAGCATCTCAGAGCGCCGGGCAGCATCACACCTCATCTCGACCGTTCCCCCCTCGCCCTGCATCGGTCTAGCCTAGGGTACCACCAGTGGGAGGCATCCCTACACGAGGCACGAGGAGTACCCGGTGCCGGCGTGAGTGTGGCTCCGCTCTGCCAGCAGGGAGCAACCTCGCTGTGGATGTTTTCCCAATTAAGGACCAAAACGGGTCCGCCATGTTTGTGCTCATTAACTCACGATTATGAAGTCAAGTCACCGTGCTTCCTTGCTCACACACCCATGGGATCGTGCTCTGCCCAGTAGCCACATTCTGATTGTGGGGACAAGCCTCTTTATATGAAATCCACCGTACACTTCCCACAACGTCTAAAACACTACAATTTTATTATTATCTAGTTTCCATTTCTCACAGTGGCATTAACGTTACTTTGATGAACTGTGTAGATTCGTTAAAGTGGCCAGAAAGCCTGAAATTATTGATCAATTCTAGAAATGCGATGACAATGATACTGGCTCTCACCATAGAATTGTGGAATTTCCCACACTGGCTTGGAACCATCAAGAGAGGTGAGACGCACCCAATGGACACTGACCTTCTTTGGACCGGGGGCTGTAATGGATCATCGGGGTCACGTTCCGATTTTCCACCACGCATCGTGCATATTTAACCAATTCTATAATATACCTGGCCAATGTCTGTAACAAAGGATTACGTGGTGATACGTACAATACATCTGGCCACAGCACTTGTTTCTAACGAGAGTGTTCGGCCTTTTTGTCAGTGCGCTGCTGTACAAGGTCTACCCACACACACCGTGTCGGCCACGGGGGTTGTTATCATACTTCGCCATGCTATTCACTGCGGATTGTTGAAGGTGGGAGCATAAACGTTAGATCTCTTATGACCAGGTAGCCTCGCCGCAGCCTATAACATCTGTGTTATGCATTGGTGGCCGTTCAACCAACCACGAACCAGGCTCAAGCCTACGTAGCTTCCGAGATCCTATGAGATTGGGCACACTCCCGGTGATCAGGTCACAGGCTATTAGAGCTATGGAGTTCAAATCCTTGTCTGGTGCCACGGTGGCGAGATGACAACTACCTCGCCTGGTATACAGGAGGTTGTGGGTCCGATCCCAATCCCGACCCTGGCGCCTGTATATTTAGAGTTTGAATGTCTCTATCCCCATGGTCACATGGATTTTTCTCCAGGTCCTCTGGTCTTCCCCTCCACAATTATAAACACTCAATTAGAGTATTTGGCTGCTATGAATCTCCACGGGATGATTAGCCACTTCGTTGAGCTATCATTTCTGGTCAGGTCGCTTCTGAAAAATAGCTACATAACTCAGTGGGCCTTACCTGGTAAAACAATAAAAAATAGTTGACAGTATTATATTTAGCAGAGAAAAAACAGTCGTTATCTTCTTATCTCATGTCGATGTATGCCGCGCCTTATTCCAAGGCGCCCGATTGAACGTCGACTCTACCCATCACCATCACACCCCACGTGGTTTCGGTGAGACGAGCAGCCGGTCTACTGCGTGGACGGCCGACCCCCGCCGTGGGAAATGTGGAACTTCCGACGTTTTGCCAAGGGCCGACCAGCAGGCATCGATGGCCGGAGCTTTCGGTGAAAAGCGACGCCGGGATGGAGCGCATTGCGCTGGCGCCCGCGTGTGAACGAGCCGGTCGATTGTGCCCGTTCAATCACAAAGACTGAGACACATGGAGAGAGAGCTCTCGCTCTTGCAGCGGCCACCGGATGGGGGGGGGCGAAGGTGGGTAACATCAATGTTAAAGTGCAATTTTTATTGAGAGACTGTGTGTTGTTGTTGTTGTTGTCTTGCTGTGGTCCTGGACTGTCTTTGCTGTTGTTATGCTGCCTTGCTTAATTCTGGCTGTCATCTGATGATGCTGGTTGTTGTAATTACCGACGAAGCTTGGAATTAGAACTTATAAAATTAATTAATACATTTTCTGTGATTTAATTACCTTTCATACATTTATCGGTTTTTTTTGTATTGTTGTAACGTTCTTACCCCGTGCCCCTTGCTGGACATCTGTGAAAAAGAGCTTCATAGCTCATCGGATTTCTATAGTCTACCTATGGATTCTGAGTCTGATCTTAATGCATGCAGGATATGTACCGTGGACACTACTCAGCCAAGGCTTTAACCGCTCGGCACAGGGGGGTTTTAATAAATATGAATGCCCACTTTATACACGGTGTATAGAAATGAGTTTTTTTTGGGTTAGATGGTGTAAGTATAAATGTGTCATTAAACCCGCCACCACCACTCGACACAGGCAATCAGTAAGGTTTGTTATGTAAACAAAACGTACACCGGTTGTGTGTTGGAGACTGAACACCCAACATTTATAATTCGACTACTGTGACGTTTCGCCAGTAATTAAAACAACCAGCCCCAACAGGCGACAGCGAGAATTGTGGAGAATTCCTCCTCGTGCTTCGGTCCTTAAATGGAGGTGTACGGACGATGCGTTCCAGCTGCACGAAGCCTCTGGCTGTTGCTGCGATAAAAATTTTACTGAATAAAAAAAAGCAGCCGCTACACACGCGGTCGTTGGTTGTCCCAGGAGGCCTCAAAGGCATTAATGCACAGCCGTGCATCCTGTTGGAGATAATGAATTACGTCTATCAACAAATTGTAACAGTTGCGTTTTTTTTTACAGCCGATTATTCCGGCCCCTTTAAGATAGATAGTGGTGGACAATCCGTGCCCGTCGTGATGCGGCCGATACTGTCACCAAGCTCTGACCGTCACCTCCCGTCCAGCGACACACGAGGGGGGGAAATGCATCGATCGAAAGTGTTTTCGTGTTATACAATTAGTCGTGTAATCGAATCGATAATCGTTGGAGGAAATCGATTAATTTATGGTTGGGCTCACCATCCGAGTGGGCCTTGTTAGGCCGTCAATGCCATGCTCTGCCATGCAGATAAACACCATGATGGTTAACTGGACCGGAACAAAGACAACAACGCTGACAAACTACCTGCTAAACTACTCAACTGGGACAACCACCCAGCAGTGACATCTCCCCCCTAGTGCGAAAAAACTTGGCAGGACCCTCCTGAAGAAGTGTCATGGGACTTGGTGAGGCCGTGCTCGGCGTACGGGTGTACGGACGTACGAGCATACGAGCTTACGGGCGTACGAATGTACTTTTGTACGGGCATACGAGCAATACACTAACAAGCAGGCTCGTGTCGTGCAGTACGCAGGGCCCCCCACACGCATTGAGATCCGTGACATTCATTGTTAGATTCGTAAAAAAGGATGGGGAAAAAGGTCAAGGACTAAGATGGTGTCATTCATTCTGGAATGATAAACGATAATTGGATCCAGTTTTTTTTATCGCATGCAATTCAGTCAGAACAAAAAATAAAAACAGAAGAAATCATGATTAATGTTAAAAAAATGTCCGTGAGGCAGTGTGTTTCACAAATATATGACATTATTTTGGAAGATATCGAATTGAAGGGAAATCCTCGTGAGGTATTTCAACAGTAGAACAACTTCAAGTGAAGGTTATCACTGGGTCACGTGGCACGAGCTCGCCGTGTTACAAATAAGACGCTTTCGTCAAACCAACAAAAAAAATCTGGCGAGTCGGTGACTTAATTAAAACGTATCAGGAGTAAAAAAGGTTGGAAATTAATCCCCCAAATTGTTTTAGAACTGGGCAGGAAAATACGAACGCATTTACAAGTCGACATGTTTTTTGTTATGAACGTGTCGCTTGCGTGGACGCTGCCATCGATTCCTCCTTTAGTTAAAACCGACCTTCAAAAAACTTAGACGGGGGACAGTTGAAGAATCAATGAAGCCACACGTCAGCTGCCACCACCACCGCCGCCGCCGCTGACGAGCACCGGGGTGAACCGGCGCCGAGGGTGACGCATGGCGGATGAGGCCCACTGGCGTCACGGCAGACAAGCGGGGTGGGTGGGCGAGTTACAAAAGCTCGCTCCAGTCCGCTTGCCGCGCAAGCCGCTCTCTCTGCCAGGGATAAGTGACGTGACGTAAAGCAGCGCCGCTCGCGAGGAGGCTGCGGTGGCGTGTCGCTGTCACGGCGAGTTGCTTGATGGACTCTCTATACGCCACTTTGGGAGAGCAGAGAGCAGAGGTATGATATATAAACTCACAATTCGCATCCGTCACGTATCTGTCTCTCCACATAAAAAAAAATAAAAGTATTTCTGGCACATCCCATCGATCAAAAGGCCTTCTGGGAGTGCTCGTCTTCAGCGGCACTGATTCAACACAAGCATACTCTGAGATGGTTTCGATATTTGGTGTTTCATCAGGGAGGTCAACTTTAGTGTTCAGAGATGGGAGTTTGAGGCAAGAGAAATATCTGTGTCACTGCGCGGGTCCAAGCGCTGGCATTTGAGCGCAGGTGCATGCAGAGGATGCTGGGAATTTCGTAGCAGAATGAGGTAAACCACTTGGAAGTTCAGAATGGAACACGACAGGAGAGTGCTGTGGATGTCAATCAGGAAGCAGAGGAGGTTGAGATGGGTGGGACTCGTGTGTAGGGTGCAGGAGGATAGGGTAGGCAACTTGGAGGTAGTGATGGGTGGGACTCGTGTGTATGGTGGAGGAGGATAGGGTAGGCAACTTGGAGGTAGTGATGGGTGGGACTCGTGTGTAGGGTGCAGGAGGAGGCCAGGAGACCGGGACTGCAGTGCAGCAGCACTCAGAGGTTAGTGACCAAGAGAACAGAAGACCCAAAGCTATGTGGTGGTGATAGTGGTGGTGGTGGTGGTGAAGAGTGTGAGCAAAGCCTTGAATAAAAACAATGCTTAGGTACCTATTTAATGACATTCAGGCGTTGACTTCGGTTTTTTTCATTTTAAGGAGTGAATTCTAAATTCGACAACGGAGCTGTAAATCGAATATCCGCATCAGCAGCATCAACGGCCGTCGTCTATGCACGGCTGGACGAAGGCCTTTCCGCGTCGTCGCCTCTCCCCATGCGATTGGCACGGTCCACCGCGCTTGCTGCACGTGAAACAGGACCCCCCATTGCTCCGTCGTCCCCAGTGGCGGGCATCCTCGCGGGCGTGTGCCCTCTCGCACACCGTGAGCAATCCGCCCGAGCGACGCGCTCTTCAACGGTCAACGCCGTGTCCTGCCCAATCGCGCTCGCTTCACTTCAATGCGGTGTCACACTTGTGGTTTTTTCCCAAGTCCACGTGGCCCCCTCTCTGCCACAAGTGCAACCGTTTCTCATTCGTGCCAGAGATGGAAATATACGCACCGATTGAAAACGTTGTCAGGCACCCTGCAATGCCTTCATCAAATCAAGTTTTCCAAAAAGCACCAATACCAATGCTCGCCATTCGCCATTAAGTGACGGTGAAGTCACCACGGTGCCTGTGCCAGGCCAGGTGCACTTTGAGGCTACCACGTGAAATGTGGAAGGCTCGCTGACAGGAGGTATCGGGACAGACCCAGCAAGTGCCATGGGTTGGCTGACTGAGTTGACCGGTAGATGCAAAAGCTGTACACTGTACTCTGCCAACTTGCTGCATTTTAGCCACCCGGCGCTCCTCTGGCCTCCGTTGTTTGACCTTTGCCCCAACGGAGGGCAAAAATCACCACACACACCGACACACAAACGCATAAAAAATAACGATATCGCCCATTTTTCTTCAAATAAATAAAAACAGACATTTTATGAGTGTATAACCATACACTCTTAAAATGGTAATATGCCGCTGCTGTATTACAGAAACCACGCGGTTTGCCCACGCGTGCCTTTAACAGAGCGCACGCCGCTCGCGAAAAAACCATGTGCGGCCGCAACACCGCGATGGCGTGGCACTGCCAGACACGGCATTCATTATTCACACGAGAGGCTGGAATGCCATCGGCAATCAATTCCATTCCTCTCTCTTCCACCCCCTCCGGCTAATGGCCGGAGGCTAGAGTAGCTGTCAGTGGGGATGGGGCGCGGAGAGGCCTTGCGGTTGAAGGCAGAAGACGCAGCGGAGAGAGGCATGCCGGTGAGGCGGGCAAGGGTATCCCCTGCGGGTGACATCGCAATGCATGCTGGGAATGGGGGAAAAAATCAACGCAAAGCGAATCGCTCCGTCAAGGCATAGGGGGGCGGGCGAACGTTGCCCCCGAGGGCCCAATGGGACTTTCAAAAGTCTCCTGGCGCGGTGAGCCGACACTATCAATGCACGCCTCATTGTTATCTGCTCAGAACACGAGGAGTCACGAGGCCGTCGACCTCAGGATGAAACAGGCCCTGGCAGTGACCCGAATGCACAACAAGTTATGAACACGGTGTTGTTGCCAAGTCTAAAATATTTTTGTGCACGACCCAATTAGTGGCGGTCCCCCCACAACCCCTACCAATCGAGACTCGTAAATTCAAGCAGTCACAGGCGGCTACAACCATCACGAGGACAACTTGTGGAAAAGTACGAGAAAACAAACGACCTCTTCCAGACAACTTTCACCGTGACCCGGAAAACCTCATCGGTGCGTCCCCCAAGGTCGTCTCTCAAGCTGATGTGGCTCGCGCGAGCCACATCAGCTTGCCAGGAGGGAGACGTGAATACTAAACAAGCACGCGACATTGAAGAAGCAAAAGTCTGCAAAGAAATTCAATTTTCAGAAATATACAAAGGACGACCGACTTGGCTACCTATCTCGATGTTTAAGAAGCCGTCAGTGCCCATGGCTTTTGTCTCTCTCCTGGTACCCGGCCGGTGACAATGACAAGAAGACTGGATGGACCTGAAAATGCATCAAGGACCATAGCCAACAGCCGACACAGAACAATATTCTGTCTGCTTGTACAGTCTCCCAACAATGCTGATCAATGTGATCATATTAAACTGTAGTACTGTATATACGTACAGGGGGTATTCATTTTAATATGTATATTTTTAATCTCCACTTTATAGGCTTTAGGCAGAATTATTCTGAATAGCAAATATCCGTGTAATTTTCAGCTGTTTAAGCTAAATGACTACTTAAAAAGTATTTTTTTTAGAGAAAAATCACTTACTACCATTTTAAATCAACATAGACAGTCATCTGTCATTGATTGCTTCCAATATTAGGACGCCCTAGAGCTATGCACTTTAATATTTAGATTGAAAACTAATTTCTTTAGAATAGCTTTTTGTGTTTAGTTTGCTGTCCTTCCTCCGCACCTCCGATCAGCATGGTTAGCTACGTACAGAGCAAAAGAAGCTCAACATACATACACACACACACGTGGCACTTATGGAATCTATTTTAGCATGAGCGAGTTGTATGAATGTAATGATCGAGTGTGTGTGTGCGTGTGTGCGTGCTGCATATCGCTGTGTAGTGCTGTGTGGAAGCTGCCTGACCTGTCACTCCATACAAAGCTCCAGGTCTCCTCGGCCACGGTTATGACCGCCCATTTGTATGCTTGCAAAACGTGGACCCCTTTAAAGTAACAAATACACTGGTTAGAAACATTTAGGCTGGCCTGCCTACGATTCGTCCTGGGTTTAGCGAGGCTGAATTGTGAGTAGCTCACAGATCCTTGAAAGATCTGGACACAGTCTCATCAGCGAGCTCCTCCAGCAGGTGAGGCTGCGTTGGCTGGGTCATGCAGCCCACATGCCCAGCCACCGCATGCCCAAGCAGCTCCTGTTTGGCTGGATAGAGGAGGCTAAATGGGACACGGCACGTGCTAGAGAAGAAATGGACAAATGCGGTAAAGGAGGACGTGGAGCTGAATGGACTTATCTATGACCGGTACCAGCGGTGTTAAGATCGGCCTGTGTGGAGGAGGCTCGTGGAGGATGCTGCTGGGCAGTTTCAGGCAGTCGCCCTCCAGCAACAATGGAGGGCGGAGGAGCGACGCTCACGGAGCAAGTTGGCAAAGTAGGGGAGCACAGGTGGCGCATCTGCCAGTCATCTCGGTCAGTCAACCAAAAGCACCTGTGTCTATCTTGTGACCTACTGCTAACGAATATTTAACACTTTACGTGGCTTTAAAGTGCAAAGTGCACTTAGCCTGACACAAGCTGGCTCACAGGCAGAAGGCGGCTGTCGTTATGACTGTCGTGTGCATCGACGCGCCACCTAGCAAGCGTTCCGGCGTGTTTGTTGCGCGCGACGTCCGCGGGCACGAATCGACTTCTGCCGCAAGTCCCCCCCCTGCCCCCGGGGGCTTGAGAAGCGGTGCTGCGGCCAGGGCACCACCGTGGCGGAATGAGAGATGCTAAAGTCAGACAGAGGCGGACTAAGATGTGGCCTGGCAACTCAAGAAGAAGCAGCCGCGGCTTCACGGGAGAGCCACTCTCTCACTCGCTCTCTCGCCAGTCGTGCAGAGTAAACCGGCTGCGGGGCATCGCCACTTTAGAGACCGAGCACAATCGCGTTCCGCCCTCCAGCGCTGCCCTGCAATCCTCTCTCTCTTGCCAATGATTCGGGGAGCCAAAACAAACAGACTCACAGCACAGACGAACTTGTTTGTTTCCGCAAGGGCAGACCGACGACAAAGGTTCCTTTTCAAAACCCGTGATGGCGCATGTGAGACACGTTGTTCCGTGGGCTGTTCACGTCTATTTTCCTTCAGTGCAAAATTGTAAATTGAGCCTTGAGCTGGTTCCAATCAGCCGAGCCGCTGTTTTGAACCACCATTGCCCGGGAGGTGGGAGGGAAGGGTGGGGGGGGTGCCGCGCTCCGTTTCAAAAGCTCGGGCGGCACTTTTCACCTCCCCGCCGAATGTTTGGAAAATTGAGGGCGTCACGACGAGGAGTTGGTAAATTCTAACGGCGGGCGTCAAATGGGGGTCTGCGTCCGCGCCATCGGCACTCCACCATCACATCGTCGTCGTCATCGTCGTCAACCACGACATATCCAATGCCGAATGAAGACCTTCCCAAGTCGTCGCCATATCTCACGATCCTGCGAT